GTCCATGGAGCTCTGTAAACAGGGCTCTACACGACCCATTACTTGCACTGTCAAGAGGGTTATTTTTTTTACAACCAATTTTAACTGAGTTTTAGTTAAAGGGTCTGCACCAAAAAAGCATCTAATTATAAAGCATTTTAGTGTTGTGTTCTTGTTGTTAGCATGCAAGCAAAACTCCACTCTGATCTCTGACAATTGTGAAAAACACACATCATGGTGAATAATTACGATGCTCAGAGTGCATATGGTAAGTGAGGAAGAACTTTAGACCACTGCAAATTCTTTAAATAAACTAGCTCTGTTGACAGGAAGATAAGATAAATCAGGTGTACTCTTAGTCCACCCTGCCTTTGCAAACTTACGTGTCAAAATTGACCCTGATCTAAAATTAATCAGCAAATTTGTGCTGTTGTAAAGTCTAGTTTTTTCCAGCTAAGACAACTCTCCAAATTTAAGCCTATCTTGTCAACAGAACTGATTGATTGGACTATTGTAATGCACTTTATGTTAGTGTCAGCCAAAATGCACTTTGCCATTTGCAACGAGTCCAAAACTCAGGGGCTTGACTTTTAATGATTTAGTCACATAATTCTTTTTAAATTTCAGTTTAATTTTGTTCTTGTTTAAGACGTATTTCTCATAACTTTGATGCAGAGACAGTGTAATCAGGCTCCACAGTGGGAACTCTTTTCATTATTTTTATTTCCTTATCTTAATGTGCTCTAATGTTTTCATTTGATGGTTTTATTATCAGCCCTGCAGTTCTTTATTTATTATTCGACTAAATAAATGACAATTTATTTACTTTCACACAAAGTTATTATGATATGAACCATACACGTATCTGTTTCCGTTGTGGTTATGTCCTGTTTTAGACCTGTTTTAGTCCTGGTTTAGGCCTGTTTTAGTTCTGGTTTAATCCTGGTTTAGTTTTTTGTTTAGTCCTGGTTTAGACCTGGTTTACTCCTAGAATAGTCTTGGTTCAGTCCTGGTTCAGTCCTGGTTCAGTCCTGGTTCAGTCCTATTTTAGTCCTGGTTTAGTCCTGATTTAGTCCTCGTTTAGTCCTGGTTCAGTCTTGGTTTAGTCATGGTTTAGTCCTGGTTTAGTTCTGGTTTATTCCTGGTTTAGTTCTGGTTCGGTCCTAGTTTAGTCCTGGCTCAGTCCTAGTTTAGTCGTGGTTTAGTTCTACTTTATTCCTGGCTCTTTGTGTGGCTTTTTGTGTGTTCTTACAACTGTTTTGGCCTGTTGACGCGATCCACAAATGTTCTTGTAAAACTGAATTTAACACTGTTAAAAGCATAAATAAGTTGTGTGTTACAGAAATATAGTTTAAAACATATTCTGTTAATGGAGTCCAGAAATGGCCTTGATTTGAAGAGGATTTGGGGAAGATTGTCTTTTTGGATGGGAAATTGCAATGCATTTCCAGTGAATCTGAAGGTTAATTGAGTTCACCTTGGTCCTTGGTCCAACACAGTAGGCTATAGCAGGAGGAATAGACTACTACAGTCAGTCCACTTACACAATTAAAGCAATAGTTTGATTACAGTAATGATCATGGTCTCTGACTATTATTTAGTACTGGAGTTCAGATGACATCACAACATTCTGTAGGACAGATCTGGACATTGTACAGCTTCTTCGTCGGTCCCACACCGGGTATCAGATCGATCGGTCCATTGAAAAATTTGATAAAATGGGCATCGCAACAATGCCCAAAGCACCCCCACTCAACAGAGCCCCCTTGAAAATGCAAATTTTAAAATTAATTGGAGGCTCAGATGCAGGGCACCATCTCTGCGAGCGGCTTTAATTCTGTTTTATTTCTGGTTCAGTCCTGGTTTAGTCCTGGTTCAGACCTGATTTAGTCCTGGTTTAGTCCTGTTTAGTTCTGGTTCAGTCCTGGTTTAGCCCTGTTTTGGTCCAGTAGGAGGATTAGATTATTTTAAGATGATGGACTGTCAGACAAATCAATAGGAGGCGATCAAAGCGTGACAAACAAACATAATTGTGGCTTTTGTCAGTGACATGTTGCGGCGGCGACAGATTTAGATTTATAATTAAAATCTTGTCATGAATAAGAGTAATTATAGACACCGGGGGAGTTTTTTTTTTTTTTTTTCTTTTAAGACTTTCTGTAGCGTTTAATCTGCAGATGTTGTGGTGTGCTTGGATAAATATAGCAGGAGAATGGACCTTGTCACTAATAAAAATGATCACTGAAAACACATTTGTGTATTTAGCTTTTGTTTTTTTTATATACTGACAGAGAAGATGTTTAACTTTTTTTGTTTTTTTTGTTTTTTTAAATGTAGATTGGCCCAGTAATTACAGAGATATTAACCATAAACCAGGTTGTGAACAAATCTGCAAAATTCAAAAATAGGTTGTGTTCATGTGACTCTAAATATTTGAATGAATCCAAATGTTTATGGGACATTTTACAATGAGCTGGACCAGGACTGAACCAGGACTAAACCAAGGTAATTAAACCAGAGCTAAACAGGACTCAAGCAGGTCTGAACCAGACTAGACTAAAGCAGGACTAAATCATAACTAAAGCAGGTCTAAATCATAACTAAAGCAGGACTAAAGCAGGACCAAATCAGGACTAAATCAGGACTAAAGCAGGACCAAATCACGAGTAAAACAGGACTACATTTGGACTTAATCAGGACTAAAGCAGGACTAAAGCAGGACTAAATCACAACTAAATCACGACTAAAACAGGACTACATTTGGACATAATCAGGACTAAAGCAGGACTAAAGCAGGACTAAATCATGATTAAAACATGACTACATTAGGAGTAATTCAGAACTAAATCACAACTAAAGCAGGACTAAATCACATCTAAAGCAGGACAAAATCAAGACTAAAGCAAGATTAAGCAGGACTAAATCAGGACTAAACCTGGAGTGAACCAGTATCTAAACTATGGCAACTCAATGAGGACCAAACAAGGCTTAAAGTACAAAAGCAGGACTAAACCAGGTCTAAACCAAGACTGAAAGGGGTTCTAAACTGGATCTAAACTGAAGCTAAACCAAGACTAAACTAGGACTAAAACAAGACTAAACCAGGACTGAACCATGCAGAACTAAATCATAAACTTTATTCTTGAATCCATCCTGACCTGTTGTCCAGCTCGGTTTAAAGTCTGGGCAGATTGTTGCGATATCAGGTGAGGTTAAATGCTTAGTATTTAAATTAATCGAAAAATCTATAGCAAATTTTCCGTAATGTTTTTCCTTTTGGTGGTTTGGTCCAGACTGCTTTGGGAACATTGCAGTAGTGTTGCCGCGGTGACTCTGCAGAGGCACTCGGAGCTTCACTCGGAGTCGGAATAATGAGTCTGTGGAGCGTTCGGGAGCAGTGGGACTTTTAAATGCTCTAAGTGTGTTTTTATGGAAATGCACCACCACAACATTAGAGCTTTATTAGACAGGGAAAGAGAAGGGGAGGGAGAGAGGGGATGTAGTAGGAAGGACAGGGAGAGACAGAGGAGAGGAGGAGGGAGAAAGAGGGGGATGGAAGAGAGAGAGGGTGGAAAGGAGAGAGAGGAGAGGGAAGGGAGAATAAAGAAGAGAGAGAAGATAAGAGGAGAGGGAGAGAGCGAGGAAGTAGTAGGAAGGAAAGGTGGGAGGGAGAGAGGGGATAAGAGAGAAGAGAGAGGGAGGGAAAGATTGGAAAGAAGGGAGAGAGGAGAGGGAAGGTACAGGAGAGTGGGAAGGAGAGAGAGGAGAGGGAGAGAGAAGGGAAGTAGTAAGGAGGACAGGGAGAGACAGTGGAGAGGAGGGAGAGAGGAAGGGGTGGGGGTGGGGTGAGAGAGAGGAAAGAGATAGGGAGAGAGAGTGAATGGAAAGGAGGGATAGGAGAGGGAAGGGAGGATAAAGAAGAGAGAAGGAGAGAGGAGGAGGATAAGGAGCAAAAAGACAGCATTTTTAGAGGAAGGGAGGAAGAGATGGAGAGGAGAGAGAAAGAGAGACGGCAAAGAGGAAGAGTGGTGAGAGATGGAGAAGAGAGGGCGGCTTACAGGAGATAGAGAGAAGAGATTTAGCAAAAAAGAGCCAGACATAGACAGTGTTTTTATAGAAATGCATCACAACATTAGAGGTTTATAAGAAAAGGGGCAGAAGAGTGAAAAACAAAGAGAAAGGGAGAGGAGGAGGGGGGAGTGAAGAAGCAGTAGAGAGCAAATAAAAATGCCCATTTCATAGAAAGAGAGGAGGGAGGTAAAGATGCAAGAGATTGAGAGAACGAGGGCAGACAGAAGAGGAAAGGGGGCTGAGCAAATGTAGTCCAGCTACTGAAAAAAGAAGGTGAGACTTAAGCGGTGTGTTCATTAAGATGGAGTTGAATATTAAAGCTTCATAAAAGGAGAGAGAGAAGAGGAGGGAGAGACAGAGGGAAAAAGCATATATGATGTAATAGCGACACCTGGTGGACATGAGAACATTCGTAACACTTACAATACGAACGAAGACTTATTGTATAATGAGCAAATAGTTCATTAAGAAAAATTCAAATTCAGTAATTACTTGGCATAATCCTGTCTAATATCTGTAGTAGTATTTAACGGTCCTATATTAATATGTATAATGTGTTATTACAAGAGCAAAACAATAATTAAAGATATGTACAATGATTTATTTAAATAAGACAAACTAAATATGACATCTTAAAATGAGGTCATTGATACTTTGCAGTGATGTTTCTTTCATGTTGATCATGTTTCTTTTGATATGGATAGACAGTAATTTAACAGATACGAACCATAAACCAGGTCAACAAATCTGCAATCTGACAGTTAATGGCAAATTCCATTATATAATTTTGGCCTGTGTCCAGCTCAGTGTAAACTATAGAGATAGTACAATGTGTGGATGTCACATGAGTCTAATTAACGATCAGAAGACTTTATTTCCTGGTAGTTTAAGTTACTAAAAAGTTACACTTTTACCAGCTTCACAAACCGTGTTCAACTTAATAAGGGGGTAGTAAATGCTAAGACATAACATATTTATTACATGTTGCCTTTTATTGTTTTGAAAATAGTACATTCACTGAAAACAACAAATTAACATAGTAAGTTAAAAAAGTTTCACTTTAGTTTTTGACACTTTGCTCACTGTGCTCAGTCACTTCCCTTTTAAAGCGACTTCACAGCACAATCAGCATGAATCCCCTTAACGAAACTACTCCACATCACATCAGGTTTGTCAAGTTGTAGTGTACAACTTTGTATTCTGTTTTTGTATATGCCTACGTCACCCATGCTCCCAGCAGAGTCTTGTACAAGATTGTACTGGAACTGTAAAGAGGGTTCCATTAGGGAACGCTGTAACATGGCAGAAAGATCCAAAAATCAATTTTGACATTTATGACATGTACTAAAATAATAAAGATGGTAGTTCACAGATAAATTACTTTCAAATAGCAAAAATATTTCCTTCATCTGAAATGTGTCTTCATAAATTGTAATATTGAACAAATTATAATAGTCAAATCAGTGCAAGAACTGACGCACAATATCATCACTATGTACAACTTTTTGAATTAACACTTAAAAATTTTGAAATAATGACCAAGTAGAAACTAAATAAAATGAGTAACAAAAATAATAATTTGAATGAAAAAATAAAAAAATGGTGAAATAGTTGGGACGATTATTTATTAACCAATATACTAGTGATGCCACATCACTTTGAAGATCTAAAAAAAAAAAAGAATCTGGGATTGTATAAAAAAATGCTAAAGTGAAAGAATTTATATTTAAATTACATTTCTATAACCCCAGATTTGAGGTAAAGATGTGGGAACAGCGGAGAAGTCACAGTGGTCCTACACTACTACTATAAAAAAACAGTCTACAATAAATGCTCCTCATTCTCCTCTACAGCTCTGATTTACATACGGATTTCAACATGACCCACGTGTTTGCACATGAGAGAAGATGCTGCTTGTTGAAGAGAAAACAGTGTAAAACCCACAGACATAATCTGTGAAGTGTGAAATTTAAACATTGTGTAGGCCTAATATCTGAGGCAATTACAAACTCTTCGCACAGAGACTGAACATGTTCGGAAACCTTCAGACAAAGATACTTCATTGCTCCTTAGCGCTGGTTAGGTTCCTGTGCTAAAGGAACTACGAAAGAAAGTATGCAGGCTCCGTTTCCAACTCCTTTTTAACTCTGCGGACAGTCCTTATCAAGGAATACAGTGACGCACATCAGCTTTGAGTTTAAAGAGCTAGGAGCTTCGGGGTCAATTTGAGCAATTCGGAATGAGCCTGAGAATGAGAAAAAAACAAAAAAAAAAGGCACTAGCAAACCAGGTTAATTTGTGATTGTTGAATTCTGATAGTAGTAAGAGCACAGGCTACCTAGTAAAAGAAAAATCTGGACATTAACCAAAACACTTGCAATTTCAAATCATCTATGGACATCACTTTTTGAAATGTACAAAATTAATTAAATGAAAGAACTCAAATGACTTTAACATAAAATCCCATCTGTGTCTCAACTGATGATGAAAACGCGAGGCCCCTCCTCTCTCATAGGGGGCAGACTCTCGATCACCATGTTCTCTATGAGCCCGTACTTGTCCTCCTTCCTGCTCCGCCCTTCCTGTCTGGTTGACGTGGTGATGGGGGAACCGATTGCGTCACTGATCACGGGGTCAGTGGGGAGAGGGTCCGGAGAGAGAGACATTTGTTCAGTCAACCGTTTCAGTGTTAGCTGCACAAAACAAGCACAAATTAGTATCCATATAGTTATTATTTTTTTGGTTAACCTGAAATGAATAATCCCTCAGGTTTCAGTAGAGGTCATCTGGATTCTGTTTTTGCAATCAGATGCAAAAGCCATTTTTATTTGATTATACTGGCTTGAGACACTAGCACAAGTCTTTTATTTATTTATATTATTGTGTATTGACTATCTCACCCTCACCATTGTTAAGTACCTGATTAGCATGTGATTGGCTTTCTGTCACTGTGGTCCAGGGGAGGAGGATGCTTCTTCTGTAAAGAGCTGTTAGAATGACTAAAGAAGTGGACTATGGGAGTGTGATGTCACCCATAGAGTCCAACCAAGATTATCAGAATAACCAAAGAGCCAATCTGTTTAGCAATGCTGTCAATCAAACCAGTTTAACTCTAGTGGGAAGTGTAGGGAAAGAAGGTGCTTGATTTGTTGTTATTAATGATCATTTCTTGATTTAGTGACAAAAGAGTGAAATAAAAACTTCAGGATCATAAAGTGGATTAATATTAATATTTTGAGGTCTGAATGACGAGTCGAGTCAGAAATGTGCCCATGCTTACTTCCTATTATTTCTATATTATTATTCCTACAGTTATTGCCATTTATACAGTCTATGATTAAAACCTCAGTTCACCATTTCTGTTCAGAGAAGCATACTCTTAATAGAAGGTCACTTTCACTCTGGGCTTGGTTAACTCAGAGTTGGATAAATCCCAGTGCCCCAAGCCAGTACCATCAAATAGAAAATGGAACTGAAACGTCTTGATCGCAAAAACAGTGTCCAGATAGCCACCGCTGAAACTTTCTTTACAATGAAACCAATAATGATTAAAAAAAAAAAAGAAAAAGAGATAATATTAACACACAGAGCTTTAAACCAGTGAGAGGCCAAGTCATGCACTTAAAGGGAGACCCAGTGAGACTTTAACATGAATGACTTTACAATGTTTTCTGATAGACAAAACCTCAGTTTATTGCTTCATGTCAAAACTAGGAGCAGGAAAAATGCAAACATTGTTACTTTAAAGGTTCTGTATTACGTAAAATAGTCTCTTGTGAGCTTTAAGCCATATTAGAACATTGTTACCTCGTGAAAAACATACCTGGAGTTGTGTTTTGTTTCATTCGCACATGTTTGAGTAACCCTATTTGTTTACTGTTTACATCCCTTAAATTCAAAATGTGTTCTGTTTGATAGAAGAACTCAGCCTAAATATGCACGGTTTGTGGATTGAACGTTATGCGTTAATGAAACAAAACAAAACACAACTCTCGGTAGGTTTGTGCTGAAGAAACAACCTCTATATACCGTAGCATAATATGGGACCTTTAACATTATCTGTGTTCTCAGGTGTGAAATTAACATGTAACACTGAATTTATTGATAAAATTGTAATGTTGAGTCACATTTACAAAAAAAATCTAAAGTTGGTGTTTTTCAGAAATTCGAAAAGGCCTGTTGCTGATTCACGGGGGACCACACAAGAGCACTGACCCAGCCTCTTTTACCTTAACATTTAAATATCCCTCATGTCATTTGTGTCCCTTCCTCAACCTCTCCACAGCCCACAGACACAATAGAATAAACTCCAATGCATCACAATATAATATAGTAATAATTTAAAAACTATAGATACTTTGCAGCAACATCACACTGGGGGGGCGGTCTGCATGTACCGGTATATCTATGTTGGAATATTCAGATGTTACCATGGTGACACAATGCACACATTATTTTAAGTTTAAGTGATTAAAAGTTAGTGTTTGCTTGTCTGAAAAACAACAACAAAAATGTGAGACTGACTGAAAAACTGTAATGCTATTCGAGACAGACTTGTTCAACAGAACAAATTGTCTCACCTGCTGAAGTTCCAGCTGAATCATTTCTTTAAACTGAGCTTTATTTTAGTGCAACCTGATCATTAAATCTAACCTGAGTAAACCCCCCTGACATCAACTGCAAAGTATCAATAGAATATAATCCAGTAGAATCCAATAGAGTCCAATAGAGTCCATGAGAGGAGTGAGAGTTGTAGCCAGACTAACCACAGTTACATTGAACAGCTCTGAGTGTGTGGGAGACCTACTTCTCTCCTGAAAACAGCTTTGACTGCGTAACAGAGAGCCAATGCCTACCACCTGTTAATCATATTTAAGAGATACATGAAAGTCATACGAAAAAAGGTCAGGACTGCATACACTCGGACTGCTGGAGTTACTAATGAATACAGGTACAAATGAGAATCGAATGACTTGAAGTCAGAAAATTAAAACTCCACTGTTATTGTCTGGCAAGTTCAAACTGATATGGCTCTGTGTAGACCTGTCACGAAAACACATTTCGAAGTACGATATATTATATTATAAGAAAATATAGGCAACAAGTAATGTTGAATGCCAAAGACCCTATGATTTCTGGTAACGGACTAAATTGATACCACATTTTCAGGAGCCTGTGATCAATACAATTGTTCATGGTTTGATTTTCAATAAAAGGTGAGAGTGACTACTTGAAAACTGCTGACTGACTAATTTTATGCAACAGAGATTAGAAATTATGTCTCCTGTTGTAGTCAGCTCTTTCTGGTCAGACTGTGTTAAAATAAAGCTCAGATTAAAGTCTAATTTAAGTAACAGATGTTCTAACAGAATAGTGCTTTAAGTTAGCATCACACTCCAGGAAATATTTCTGACATCAGCTGCAAAGTATCAATATTATGTTGTTTAATACCTGAATGTGCATAAGTGAAAAAGAACCCACTCTACAGCCTTGTTTCTGAATTCAAGTCATTTTCTCTCTTCAGATGTGCAGCTGTTTTTTAATGACTTCAATGTTCAATCATTTTCAGCAGATGTTTTGACTGTGAATGTACAGTGTTGTCCCTGGAGTGGTTGAGTGAAATCTTGTGCTATGGTTAGAAGAAGTGACAGGTGTTGGTAGAGCGGGTGTTGGTAGTGCGGGTGTTGTAGCGCTGGTGTTGGTAGCGCGGGTGCTGGTAGCGTGGGTGTTGATAGCGCGGGTGTTGATAGCGCGGGTGTTGATAGCGCGGGTGTTGATAGCGGGTGTTGATAGCGCGGGTGTTGATAGCGCGGGTGTTGTAGAGTTGGTGTTCTAATGCTGGTGTTGCTGTACATTTGAATGGCAATGAACACTGTGAATGATGTCACACTCACTTAGTCAAATTTTTTATATTGTTTATGGGAGGAGGAAACCACACTGAAACTAATCCAGTCATATTTACATAATCGTTCAGGTGTGCGGTGGGTGCTTTCACACCTCTGAGCATAATGCCTATCACTATTGTTTTCCTTGTTTTGATTTACGTCTGTGGATGGAGTTATGAATATCATCTATGTGCAGATGCTGGGACTGTGTACATACAGTGTTGTCTTTGAAGAGGTTGAGCAGAGTCACGCCCACCACGATGACCATGAATGACCCCACGGTGGTCACCACATCAATGGGGGACATGGAGCTCCACTCCTGGAACAGAATGATGGAGGTGCAGAGGACCACGGAGGTGAAGAGCACGTAGTAAATGGGATACACCATCTGAGTGTTGAAAATGTCCAGGGACTTGTTCAAATAGTTCACCTGAAATATTAAACAAATGAGATCCTGTGTAACTATTGAGGATGACAAGATGTTGGGGTGAAGATGATAATATCTTAATTATACATATGAGAAATTGCTATTTGTGGTCATAATGCACGATGTACAAAGAGAAAGTACTTTACCTGGGCCAGGATAGACAGCACTAGAGTCAAGATCAGGATATAAGTGAGAGGGTTAGAGAAGACAGAGTAGTCCAACATACCTACAGAAAGAAAACACACAAAGTATTACCATAGCTCTAGAAACGAATCTGCTCCATGTGTGGTGTTTATTGTGATGTGTGACTTGTTGTGACATGTTTATCTTTATCTTTTTCGTATTGTATTGGATTCTCACAGGTCTGTAGTGCGATGGCCAGTCCTTTGGCGGAGGAGACGGTGAAAGCTCCAAGCAGAGAGCAGATGGAGATATAAACCAGGATGTTAGTCTGTCCAAACCGAGGAGCAACAAGCAGAATGAGCACCATGGCCGACACAAGCACCAGGATCGCATACACCAGGAAACCTAAGGCAACAGAACAGAACAGAACAGCAGGGTCAGGGGAGGGTCAGGGGAGGGTAAAGATCCGCTGTGGAACTTGAATTCGTCTCCATGGAGATGTTACCATTTTTCTTTTTCCTGTAATGTCCCACAGTATGGAATTAAACAACTCTATCTGGCATTTATTAAATTACAATGACTGGTGATTTTGCCCCTGGTTGCACCTGCTTGTCCACCTTAAAAAATAGTGATTCAAAACTAAATAGTAATTGCAGTAGTTTTAAAAATAATCATTCATTAAGTTGATGATTTGATAGATCTAGATGCTATAATAAAGAGAAGTGCTGATCTATGATGCAATGTGAATGAAGGATTTAATTGTTTTGTTTTGGTTTCAACTGTGTATTAGTCTAACAATAAAATCGTGATATTTCCTACACACAATAATTGTAACAACAGAATTTTAGTCGGATTACGCCAGTCAATAAATAACATACTGAGCGTAAAGTGATATTTTGTGTATGGCATGATCATCACAACACTGTTTACATTTACAAACATATTTTTGAGCTGGGTTTGTGTTGGGTTTATAGACAGGTACCCCACAAGAGGGCACTACAGCTCCTTTATTAACATGCTGATTATGGGTGCAGGTTGATAAAGCTGCACCATGACATTTTTCAGGTGGAGGATCCAGCACCTGCTTGTCTCCATGAAGACATAACTGTTTTGCCAGGAATGATCCACAGTATGGCTTTAAACTTATATATCTTTATGAAGACAAGCAGGTGACAGGCCAAGTTACAGGTCAAATCTGTGGAGAGGCAACTCTGCTCATAGTCTCATGTTTCTCAAGGAATTTTGAGCAATGAAAATAAATTAATAAAAAGGATATAAATGTTTAAAGGGCACATTTTGAACTACTTTCTGATCTATGTTGTAATGTTTCGTCATCAAAAACACATTTGTAGTTTTCTTATGTTGTATTCAAACAAACTGCACATTTAAGATAAGTTCTTCTCTCAGACTGAAAACACTCCACCTTGTGATGTCATGCAGTAATGCAGCAGGTGCTCCTCTGTGTTTTTAAACTCCAAACACTTTCACTAGAATCATTTGGATGCATTCAGCCTTGGAATTTCTACTCTCTATTGAACTAAATACATGTAAAAGAAAACAAACAACTCCAGGTGTTTTTGAGAAGGTAACAACATTAAAATCTGGTTTAAAGCTCACAAGAGTCAATTATGCATAAATTTAATACCATACTGTGGAACATTTCAGGCAAAGCAATCACATCTCCATGGGACAAGAAAATTTACATAGCGGAGCTTTAAATGGCCCAAAAGTGATCACAATTTTGGAGAACCCCTGTGTGATTACCTGGCTCTAGAATCTTCATGGTCATCTCCTGCAGTGATGTCACTTCCTGTTCCTTTGGCGCATGGATGACCAACAGGACGCTACCGAGAACGCACAGGAAGCAGCCGAATTTCCCAATGACGTTTAGCACCTCCCCTAACAGGTAGGAGGCCAGAACTGCACTGAAAGAGAAGTGTGTGGAGGGTGAATATCCTGCTCAACATTTACACAACATCTCAAGACTCAACACGGTGTTCAAATAACACCGCTCATTGGACCTCTCACACTGAAGACATTAAGATAATCTCCTCTTCTCTGAGAACTGATGTGTGTCAGATGCCCTCCCTGTCTCTCAATGGGGTCTTATTCTATGCAAAAGCTTCTAACCCTGTAGTTTAGACCTCCACAAACATGTACTGAAATGTGTGGGATTATCAGTGAGAGGTAAAAAAAATATACATTATTAGTTAATAAAGACCATAACTATTTACTTCAATACATTGAAAGAGTTGAAATGTGTTTAATAACTGTAACAGTGCAACCATACTGGTAACAAGGGCCAAAACTAGTCATTTATTTGATTATTATAATCATGTTTAAATTAGATAACACTTTTATTTTGTTAAATAAAAAGTTTAAAGTGTCAGAAAAATGCATTCCTCGTGTGTAAATTGTTTCGAATGGTTGAAGTTTTCCATGTTGATGACCTAGACAGAGGAATTCTTTTTTAGAACTCAGCGCTACTGTTTGTATTTTTGTACTTTTCAATTTTTTTTCTACAAACTGTCACTTAACTGATGTACAACTATAATAAATACTGACAACAGGTACTATCCCGCCAAGCTGAGTAAACATTACACAAATATGAAATGATGAGATTAAATGAAATATTGAAGTTATTGCAGCTCATGTTTTTACCTGATGATGACAGCGAGTGCGCCCAGTGGCGTCACGAGGGTCGCCGGAGCAAATGCATACGCCACAAAGTTTAACACCTCCCCTGCTCCCACTGAAATACAGAAACATGACATTAATCTCTTCCCCTCTGACACACCCCTCTGCTCTCTCTGTCCCTCCTCTGTACCATACATTCATATACAGTTTCTATGTGGTTACATTAGTACCATAGACTGTATAAATGGGCATAGCTAATGCACTAGTCGCCGAGTTCCAAATAGGAAGTTCACATGCAGGCTCTTCCGGCTCCTACTGACCCTGGCTCCTATTGACTTACATTAGATTATTGTTGCTCCTCTCTCTGTAACTGCTGCTGTTAGCCTCATCATTTTGGTCTTAAAATGTTTGTATGAACTTGCTCTACATGATCCTGGTGTTTTTTTTTTTTTTTGTCTGGCTCCAAATATGCCCCTGTAACTGCTCATATCGCAAACTTCATCACAGTGGAACCTAAAGCTATGGGTGAGGTCTCACTTGCTTAATCCATTTCCTTTTACAATCCATGATCAGAACATTTAAACTGTCGGGTTATTCTTACTGGTCAGCAGTCCGCCCCACCAGAGCCAGTCCTTCAGATATCCATGACCTCCATCACCTTAAAACACAAATAAGGAAACAGAGAACTGTATGTTTACTCAGGTCAACAGTAGCTTTGCTGTTTTGCCAAATTATTGTTGGTTCTTCATCTAATCTAAAATTGGTCAATGTAACATACAGTTCAGGGCTACACAATTAAAAGGGCCTGTACCAAGTTTTATTCCACATATCCCAGTACACATATACTGTTTAAGGTTAAAATAAGTCCACTGTGTACTGTCAGAATCTAATTATGAAGCATTTCACTGTCTGAGAATCAGTAAGTGTGCGTTAACATGCTACTGCGGTTACCTTTACCATGACAGCAGAATTCTGTGCTGGTTTCTGAAAGTTGTGAAAAGTGTTTATAAACTCATTGTGGTGAATAATTAAGATGCTATGACTGCATAATGTAAGTGAGCACTATCTCCTGTATTTATGTGTTTTTCGTCTTTTTTTTTCTTCTTTTCTACTTTTTCCACAAACTGCTACAAACTTGATATGAAAGTATGGTAAATATTGACCACATGTATTACCCCACCACACCAAGAAAGACATGAAAATCTGTCATATTCACTTTAAATATGAGCAATAAGGAACTTTTACACTTCAACAATTACATAAGATTAAATTATTCAAATGAGAAGTCTCCCCAGATCTGACAGACACTGGGGAGGGAGCTTTGGGACTGTTGTGTAACCAGTTTAGCGACCAACACTGTTACCAACACCACAGTCTCCATATCAACAACCAACGCAGCAACCCAAAGGTCAGATTTTCCAACTTACGACTTGTAAATTTTGGAAAAAATGGAACATCTCTCTATCTGGTAATAAGCTGTGTTCACATTGTGAAAGCCCTGTAGCTTAAATTGAGCTGGAGAGTGGAGACTGCATATTTGTTGACTTTTTATAGTTAATATCTCTGTAATTAATAGGCACAAAACTGGCACAAAGTTCAACACCTTCTCTGTCAATATAAATCAGGGGTCTCCAACTTTTTTCTCCTGTGAACTACTTTTTGTAAAAGGAAAATACTAGAGAGCTACTCATTTTAATGGCTGCCAGAAATTGAGTAAATATAAAAGTCATGTCAAGCTGTAGATGATGTAAAGTTAGATGCCTATAAACATACAACAATTTCTTAGTGCACAAAATTAGGCATCAAAATGATACATGCACAATAGAAATAGGCATTTAATCCATCGAATCTGAGTAATTCAGCACAATATGTCTAATTCAGAAATTCCTTGGTGAGCTACTTGGAAGGAGGTGGAGAACTACAGGTTGGAGATCCCTGGTATAAATAAACAAAGGTGATTTTATTTATTTTTTCTTCCCCCCACAATGGTTTCAGAAAATGGTGCCATTATTCAACCCCAAAGCCCAACATACTGGTCTGTTTAATGTGGGAAAGGGAAATAACCTGTCTAAACCGCAGAATAGTTATGATAAGATAAAAGAAATGACAACACCTTTATTTTGATAAATGAAGGATGGAGTTTTCTGAGTTGATGACACAGGTAGAGGGATTTTGTTGAACCACTCATCATTACTTCCTGTCATTTTTGTACTTTTCTTCTCAACTTTTTTTTCCACCTAAGTGATGTAAAACTATGCTAATCATTTACCACAGGTACTATCCCACCAAACCACCAAACCAAGTCATAATAATAAAACACGAAAACACGCCAGATGCACATTGAACAAAGAGAGGAGGGGCTGTCTCACCTGCCCGTGTGCTCCCGTCGTTTGGCAGGCGTAGTAGAGCCTTCTTCTTCATGATCACACTCATGCCGATCAAGATGGCTGACAGCAAAGCCAGAATCAGACCCAGAATTATATTGTAGGTGTTGTTCGCCGCCTCAACTACAAAGACAGAACAAGATTAAACATATGGATCATAGCAAATCTACATTTCCGGTCAAAGGTTTGAACACACCCTCTCATTCAATGTTTTTAAATTCAATGTTGACTACTTTCTACATTTTAGATACATATAGAAGAGATTAGCAGTCAATATATACAGAATTAAGTAGCAAAGTCAAAATAATTAAATATTTTTTATATTTTATATTGATATCCTCAAAGTATCCACCCTTTGCTTTGTTGACAGCGCTGCAAACCCTTGGCCTTCTCTCAGTGAGCTTCCTCATGCAGTCCCTGAAATGGTTTTCACTTCAGAGCTGTGCCACATCAGGGTTAAGAAATGCCCAAAGTGCAAAGCAGTGAACAAAGCAAAGGGTAAAGACTACTTAAAAAAAAAAAAAAAAAAAAAAAAAAAAAAGAATTATTTAGGTTTTTATTTGTTTGTTCTGCTACATTCCACATGTGTCATTCGTTTATAGTTTCAGTGAGAAAATTAACAAAAACATTAAATGAAAAAGTGTGTCCAAACTTTTGACCAGTGGTGTACTGATATTTTGCAGGTGATATTTTCAACATTCACTGGGGGGGTGACGCTAACTGTAGGCACTGCTCTGTCTGAGGCTTTATTATACTTTAATCTGAGCTTTATATGTGACCATAAAGAACAGACTTAGCTAGAACTACAACAGGTGAGCCTATCTGTGCTAAACAAGTGTCTCTAAAATAAGTGTCTCTAAAATCAGTTTTTCAGTTAGTCACTCTCACCTTTTTATTGAAAATCAAACACGTAAACAGAACCACAAATGCTCATATTGATCGTAGGCTGCTGAAAGTTGTTGTTTAAATCCATTTTGTATTTTTTCTTGCATTTTCAGATAATCTTAAAACTTTTTTGGCTAATGTGTGCAATGAATTCCCATAGTAAAACCAATAGAGATAAATGTAGAACACCCCCAGCATGATGTCACTGCAAAGTATCAATAAACATGTTCAAAGGGGGCCAGGGAGAAGTAAAATGCAGTGGTGTAACATAACAAGCTCCTTTGTTTAGAAAAAGCACAATTGAAATAGAATAGGACCAAATAGTTCCTCTCTGGCTTGGATTATTCAGAGTGTATTTCCTCATTTAAACAAAAGGCCTTTAGAAAATCCTTCCACATTCACATTACCATGCAAATAACTTGACGTAACTCAGTATTGTGCTAGATTTAGTTCCAGCTCCTTTTTTTTTTTTTTAAACAATATGGCTCATTTTATAGAAGGATTTATTCTAAAACCTTGCTTTAGGGTTACAGTGTCAATGGTGTGTCAGTGGTAGACATGTGAAACCATTTCAAAGCCAAACACTCATGTGAACAAGTATCAATTCTGAACTTCATATTTTGTCAAACTTGCTTATCACATATCATCATTTATAGTTTCAAATTTGGGTTTGAAAATAGAATAGTTCATCATCAGTTTATCAGTGTTACTGACAGGCCTAAGGTACATAAGAGTATTGATATTTTGCAGCTGATGTCGTCAACATTTCTTGGGGGTGTGATGCTAACTGAAAGCACTGCTCTGTTAGAAGCTCGGTTACTCAAGTTAGACATTAACCTGAGCTTTATTTTAACATTAGCCTGAGCTTTATTTTAACACAACCTGACCATAGTGTCCACACTGGAACTACACCAGGTGAGATGATTTGTGCTGTTAAATAAGTCATTACAGTCACACAGCATTAGCCAACAGTTTCTCAGATAGTCACGCTCACCTTTTTGTTGAAAATCAAACCAGCCCTTGAACATGTGTTATTTAAATTCATTTTGTATTTTTGTTATTTTTTTGGTAAGTTTTCATACGACCTTAAAACTTTTCTGGCTGCATTTTCTAATGTGTGCATTGTGTTGCCATGGTAACTAACTACTGGTCATTTCACCAGAGAGGTTTATGAAGAACACCCCCAGAGTGATGTCACTGCAAAGTATCACGTATACTGTAAATTTGTCTTTTTATTCTCCTTAAAAGGCCTGTCATAATATCAACATTTAATATATGATAAATTAAGCAATAATTATTGGGGATCGTTGTATTTGAGCAAAACGTGTCTTGTCCCAAAACAGATTTATTGTATAATGGTTTGTTCTTATTGTTAATTATTGTTAATATTGTCCTTATTTAGGATGTATTATTACCATTTATATCTTTTTTACCATTTGTTATTATCAATAAATCTAAATAAGCAGCTCTTGAGGTCAAAATAATTCAGCTGTGAAGTGGTTGTTGTATATAATTAAGTGATTTATTGTCCGATAATCAGGAAGTGCACTGTTAGCATAGAAGTTGTTGTCGATTTCCAGAGTCAAATATAATCTAAGTAATCTGATTGATGATAGTTTACACATGTGCAGGTTTTGATAAGGAAAAATATGCAAAAAGGGCAAACTAAAAACATTTTAAATACCACGTTATTTTAAAATTCATTGGGCCTCATTCATTTATCTTTTCTTAAAAAAAGAAAAAAATATTTTTACTTTAAGAAGATGTTGACAGAACTCACAAAACGTTCTTAACAACTCCTTCTTAAATGACAGTTGCGCCGATTTCACCAACACCCAGCTACAAACACCTCCAGGCTAATTTACATTTCATTTACGTAGAAAATGAATATGTATTTGGTCAGAAACCCCTTCTGAACTTCAAAATACAGCCAATATGGGTTTTGCATTATGACCTGTGAAAGCGCGAGGGAGAGAGTGAGGAGGAAGTGAGGACGAGTGCATCTACAGACCACGGATGCTTCATCAGCAATTTCAAATGTTCAAACTCACATGAACACATTCAGGGAGGGAATATTTAAGCCATAAATTTATTGAAATAAGCGAGCGCTTTCATTGCATTTATCATGCTTTTTGCAATTGCGGACCCGAGGTAAATAATGTGGGAGGGGGCTGCGGGTGGGGGGGTGCATAAGAGGCGCTCTGGTCATGGGGGGTGAGGGGGATGTCAACTCCAGTTAAACTCAATAGACCATATGCTCTATAAAACACCTCAGAAATTTTATTGGATTACATAGTAATATATTTAGGAAATAATAAGAAATAAGAAAATATATAACTTAGAATCATGGAGGAATTTGAACTTTTAGTTGCATTAACAGAGTTATAATAATCTAAAACAGTCGAATTTATGTTCTTACAAGTGCTCCTGACTGTTGATAGGAGTTGTTCTTCCAGAAGTACATTTTCAGTGAAGAAAAAGTTTTGTGAATGCCAGAAATGTTCATAAGAAGGCTTTAAGTACAAATTTGTTGATAAGAACATTTCATGAATGAGGCCCATTGTACTTCACGTTCCAAACACAGTGACTCTAAAAGTGTTACCTGGTTTGGTGTTGTTGGTGAAAGGAGTGAAGGAACTCATGAACAGAGTCTGATCAGTGATGACACATACCGTAGACTGAGAACCACAGACGACCCTTAAGAAAGAGCCTGAACACACAGAGAAAGGAGAGAGGTTAGCCCAAAATGCCAGAGAAACAATCAAAGAGTTATTTGTTTTTCAGTGTGTCAAATCTGACCTTCTGAAAATTAAACATTTAAACATGAAAATTAGTGCTTGTATCGATAATTAATTGATGGTATTTATATCAGAAATCCACACACATTTTTCCTGATAATTTTTATCAGTGGCTGTGGTTACATACAGATACTCAGATTAGCATCAGATTTTTTCAGTCAAAAGATAACTGAAATAATATATAATTGAAATCATATATTATTTACAAATAATATATGAAAAAAAAAAAAGGTCCATTAAAGGTGTAATTTTTCTTCCCGTTTCTATGACTACGTCACTGCTCTGCTCGGAATGTTCCACAGTATGACATGAAACAGCTCTACCTTACATTTATTCATTTACGGTACAGGTGGTTTTGTAACTCAAAAATACCTAGAAAAACAGGCATTCTGACTGTGAGCGAGGTCGCCTCTCCACAGATCTAACCTGTAACTTGGTCTGGTTTGGTCTCCATGAAGACATTTGGAGAAAAGCACTTGACGGGCCCTTCACCAGAAAAGTTACACAATGCACCTTTAAGATAGTTTTACCCACAACGATCAATCTCCTCACTACATGGACTCATAAACATCTTATTTATAGAGAGAAAGGTTCATTTCATCTGTGTCTGATCCCAAAGTCTCTATCGATGATGAGCGTAGTCTGCAGTGTCCCTGGTGTTTAGCAAACTCTAAACTTGATTTTCTTGTTTTAAATGTCAAGTACAAACTAAATATTGATCAGAGGTGTAGACATTTACTTTTTTACATAAGGTCCTATGTTAAACAAATCGACTCTTGTGAGTTTTAAGCCCTGTTAAAATGATGTTACCTTCTTAAAAACATACCCGGAGTTATGCTTTGTTGTTGTTTTATGTTTGAGTAAAACAAAAAACAAAACAAAAAACATCTAACTTTTACCTTTAGTTCATTAGAGATTTGCAATTCCAGGCCTGAAATTATCCAAATTATTCTAGTGAAGTTGTATTAAGTTTAAAAACACAGTGGAGCACTTCCTGTTTTACCACATGACAGCACAAGGTGGAGTGTTTTCCATTTGAGAGAAGAACTCAGAACCCTAAATATGTAGGGTTTGTGTGTTAAACATGTGTGAATGAAACAAAAAAAACAACTCCAGGTCTGTTTGTGATGAGCATAAATCAAAAAACAATGTAATTTAGGCTAATTTAGGCTTTAGCGGCTCTTTCACATTTTAGACATATTTTGAGCTACACAGGAAAATGATACAGAAGGAAAAGAGAAGAAAATGACTTGCCATTGACTCATATAATGCTGCCACTCATTCTAAAAAAAATGTAATGTCATGATGTAATCTGCATAACTTATATTTGTCCACCCACACCACAACCTCTGCGGCCTACATTAATTGTATGTGAAACTCAACCTAATTTTATAATTGCACCCTGAGTTTCCATGCCCAACCCACCAACAGGAGTCCAACTAAATAAACACTCACTAAGTAAATACATAGTTAATGTTTTAGTGTTTGAATTATTACTCTATGATTGTAACCCCATTAACAAGAACAAGGGCACACTAATATGATGTCATAAATATTTTATCAAATTTATTGGTGTGTCATGTCAGAAATTTTATGACCCAGGATGAAAGTTTGTACAGCAAACAAAATTTGAGTATAGCCAAGTAAAACTAAAGAGCTCATTTAAAGCTATTTTCTGATCAATGTTGTTTCTTCATGAAAAACATTTTAATTGCTTTAATTCATAAATAAAATGCATATTTAGTTTATCTCTCAGGATAATTTCAAGATAATTTCAGACCTGGATTTACTAATCTCTACTGAACTAAAGATAAAATGTTACCACGACCCTGAGACAACCACTTCATGTCACCACAAGGTGGAGCTGAGCATTTTAAGCTTTGGAGATCTAAACGAACTAATAATAGAAGATTACTCAAACATGTGTGAATTAAACAAAACACAACTCCAAGGATGTTTTTGATGGTGTAACAACATTCTAACCTGTCTTAAAGCTCACAAGAGTCAATTTTGCGCAATATAGGACCACAAAACCTCAACTAACATTTCAAAAGGATTGCTGAAATATACTAGCCTGATTCATCAGCCAGTTTCACTTTGTGGAAACTGTCGCAGCATTAGGATTTGTTTGCTTGACGGTAGACAAGTACTGTTTTTTTTATTTAACCAAACGCTGCTATTTGGTCGTGACATATTTAATGCGCCGCTAATGGGGCTAATTGAAATATTAAGCTTTTCCCAAATCCCGTAGGAAGAAGGGCAATAACTTCTGTCCCACTGATAAAATTCACCAAACATTCTCTTGGTTCCGGCTTTAAATCCTTGATCTCGGGAATCGTTGCCAACACAGAATGTATGGCTCTTTGCTGATTAGCTGGTACCTGGACTCGTACTTCAGGGATTCTTGTAAACCATCTAGTGTATTCCAATTCCTGGCCTAGTTGCTGGAAAGAAATTAAATTTAGCGGAGGCGCTAGGTGGCACCAGTCTGGCTAGAAATACACTGCCATCTGGACAAAATAATAATGATAAAAAGGCATTAATTTTAGTCAATATATCCCACCCGTACTAAAGAATGTGGGTAGATATATTAAATCCTTGGACTGAGGTAGTTAAAAAAAAAAAAAAGTACACAGATTCTAATTGAAACTATTATCACAAGTAGATGCTAAAAAAGGGACAAAATTAGATTTTTTCTGAATAGTTAAAAAAAATAAAAATAAAATAAAAAAAACTAATAAAAAATTGCTCTATATTTATACTATATAAGAAGACAAACTAGTATGAAATAAACCAGTCTTATTTTGAGACAATGTTTGTTCTGTTTTCAGGTTAGACAAGACCATGCATTGCCAAATCTATAGGAGACATTACTTGGACACAGTGTGCAAGTGTATGTGTGTCCCTTCCCCCAAGAGAGGCAGTAGAGCCACATGAGTGTGTGTGTGTATGTGTGGGTGTGGAAGTGGTAAAGGGTGCTCACCCGGGCCAGGGAGGTGGCGAGAGGTTGGGTGGGTACCTGTAATTTTTGTTGACCGCTACTGCTTTTGTTTCTAGTTTTATTTTATCAATACAGTGTTCATCTTCGCAATATTTCTTTTCTCTGTATCCGCATTTGTACGTTGCCACTGTGATTGACAGTATGCCAGTTGCCCATTCATTAAACCATCGTAAAACGCATACTAGATCCAGCCTCTTTGTTTTGCATTGCATACAACATGTGGAGTTTTTTTTTTTTTTTTTTACTGAACCCAATTCTACCTCTCGCCGCTACAATATCTGCAGAGGTCTAGACTACAGGGTGAGGTTACAGATTTTATGTAGAATAAAACCCCATGTAGACACAGGGAGGGCATGTGGCACACAGGGAGGGCATGTGGCACACAGGGAGGGCATCAGACACACAGGGAGGACATCTGACACACAGGGAAGGCATGAGACAAACAGACACACAGGGATATTTCATAACATGTCCGTAAAGGTCTAAATTACAGGATTAGCCAGTTTTACACAGAATAAGATCCCATGAAAACACAGGGAGGGCATTAGAAGCACAGGGAGGACATCTGACACACAGAGAGGACATCAAACACACGGGGAGGACATCTGACACACAGCGACATTTCAGCACAAGTCTGTGGAGGTCTAAAATACAGGGTTAAGACTGGCTAATTGCAACCATTCAAACTGTCATGTCTGTAAACTTTGCCAGCCCCTGCCAACAACACAGCAGGTGGTTCACTTCTAAATAATGGTCAAGACAAGCATAATTGCGCAATACTGGTTTGACCACCTCTCTGCTGTGAAACAAGTGAAACAAGAGCTGGTCTCATACAACTAAGCACTTTATATTTACACTGTCAACAAAGCCTGAAAGTACATGCAACGTACTATGTGATCTGACATAAGGAGAGAAGTACAGGAATGGTGTGAATAAAGCATCACAGCATTCTAAAGAAAGATTGGCAAAGGAGAAATTCAATTTGTCAGCTGGACAGATGTTTATTTAAATGTATATTTGTCAAGTTGACAAATTGAATTTCTACTTTGCCATGGATTCTACCTGGATGACCGAGGGATTCTACACACACCTAAAGCAGGATTGTCAAAAGTATGGGAAATCAGATACTAATAAATATTGAAACTAGTTCTGAAACTAGACTTAAAGGGAAATTATTTGGACACAATAGCTCACACATCACAAAATAATAATAATAATAATAATAATAATAATAATAAATAATAAATAAAAGAGTAAAAAATATAAATGGTAATAATACATTCTAAAAATAAGTATCAAAAAAGATAGCAATAGACAGATGTGAAATAAGACATAATTATATACATGTAAATGTACAAGGCAAAAATAAGTAAATACATAAAATCTCAGCTATATTCAAGGGGTTATAGGAAGACTGACAGGAGATAGGGTTATCCGTTACATTAGGGTGAGTTGTATGCAGTATGATATGAATGTAAACTAGATTACAATTTGAGCAGATTGATGAAAAAGTCACATTCACAGGACAGAAATGAACCTTTCCTGAATAGCTAGAATGATCTTGAGCTGTATCAAAACAAATATAAGCCATGAACAACTGTGGAACCTACCTGAACTGCTCAGGGATTACAAAGATAAAGTAAGACCGCATGGTAATATAAAGGAAAGTACTACGGTTTAATGTTGAAAATCACATTCTATTGTTTAAAGACTTTTTTCATCATCATCGTCGTATCGGAATTGGTATTGCACATTGATTCTATTCCTTAGTATCCTTAGAGTCTGAAATTAAATAATTGAAGTTTAGGTTTCTTTCTAGATCTTGGTAACATCAGAATTGACTCTCAAGTTACGTTTTGTTAGTAACATCAAGATCAGTATATTCAAAATGTAACTCTGTATTTAAGTAGTGTTTTTCACAAATTAGTGTTTTGTAAAGTTCTTCTAAACATGTTCTTTATTAACCAAAGTACATGTTTATTCCCACCAAAAATTAAAGGCAAAGTTCTAAAAGGGGACTAAATATAACTCTTAAACCTTGGGTGTAAATCAGATCTAAAACACATATTAAACATTGTTACTAAAATGTCAAACTCAGTTTCAACTTGATACTTAAATGATAATCTTAAAAGCAAAACTAACACTTTTCAACACAAAATCTTTTTTTGTTTATCATATGTGATCTTACACTAGTTCTGATAAAACTCAAGATGGAACAGTTTAGGAAAAGGTCCAATTTGTCCCAGTTATGTGATTTTTTTCTCAAATAAGTATCTAGTTTTGGTTCTAGTGTTAGTATTGATTAGTATGTGATTTTCGATACTTCTCACAAACCTAACAGTAAATGCATTAAAAATATTGTTTTAGGCCAGAGCTGCAACAATGAAGTATAAACAAACCAACCAACTGCCTGGAGCCCAAAGCTGTAAAATCATAGATTAGATGATTTTTATATCACATGAAAAATGTACTTGGGTGTGCCCATGGTGCCTGGAGACAGTTTTGTTTTAGTCACAACACTGTAATAAAGGTGAACACTGATAGAGGTATTTTAATAGTGGAATTATTAATGGGAACCTCTTAATAAATGTAACTCAACCAGACAAAATACCAAACATACCAAAAGATAACTTACCTGAGTGACTTTTTGAGGAAACCGTACTTTTCAGAGTACTTTAATTCCATTTGAGTAACATTTTAATTGAAATAACAGTACTTTAAGGTTAATCTTCCCACTGCAAATAAGTCTAAAAGTGACAAAAGCTTTATGTTGACAATATGAAATTAGCTGAAGTAATTTCTTGCACCTCTTCTTCTCATAATAATTTAGTTTCTTTCATTTTTGTGTCTACCCTTTGAAAACACTAGTCTTAATGTTTTGTCCTTCTGATTACATTAACTACAAATTATAATTCAGATGTTCAGATGTCCCAAAACTGTTTACTTTAATGATTTCTTGGACCACTTTGTATTTCCACTTTTACTTGAGTTCAATTTTGTCTAATCTACCCAAGTCAGAATATAACTCGGATTTTACAATGCGTTTTTCGTCTCACTTTCTATCAAATTTAGCTACTACTACTTCATAACATTCACTTTTGTTGAAAATAATTATCAGAACAGTAGACAACGGGAAAATACGAGTGAATTTCAGACAGAAATTATGTTGTTGTTAGCTTAGGTTAGCTTAAAATGTTAACGTTAGCATCCACGTCTTACCGTTGTTACAGGTCTCATTCTGCAGCTGTAAATCCAGCATTTCTGCCGCTTTTCCCGAAGATTTCCGAGGATAAAATCTACAAAACACACACAAATACGCTAACTTAAATGCCCACGGATGACTGCAAAGGGATCCATTAACATCTCGCAAGGTTTAAGCGAGAAAGGGGTAAAACATGTGGATATTGTTGTTCTACGCTACACGATGGGTTTAGCAGAAGAAAGGATGTTTGGAGGATACCGGATAGAACAAGTGAACCAACACCGCCCTGAGTGCCTACAGGTGGGCGTCTACCTGTGTGCTCATCGGCCTCTCCCAAAGCAACCGCAGAGTCAAGGCAAAACCAACAAAGAGCAGGCGATTCGCGCACTTCGGTGTTTAGTCATAGCGCTCAAAGATAAAACAGTGGCGCTTTCTTATTGACGTAAAGGAAAGCCTAAAAAAATAATACATACATACATACATACATACATACATACATACATACATACATACATACATACATACACACAAACATACATACATACATACAAAACATACATACATACATACATACATACATACATACATACATACATACATACATACATACATACATATAGCCCATTATGGACTGCGTATTGTTTTTACAACGATATCCTGACAAAACAGAGGTTCTGGGAAGAGCTTTGTCCTCCTCAAGTGGTGAAAGTATGAAAGTACATTTTCATTTACAATACAGATAAGATATGATAAACATTTACAATGCAGACATATAAAGAAGTTTCATGCTAAACATTCCAGGCAGGGCAATAATATCCACATGGAGACAAGCAGGACAAGCCGGTTCTTGACTGGTGCTGGTTCTGGGCTAGGCTTGCTTGGTTTTCCACCAAATGAGAGTTAGCATTTGTTGCCATAGCAACTGTTAATTTACTAGCCCACAGTTAGCTTTGTTTTTTTCTCTATAACTGCCCCTGCTCTTGCCTTACCAGCCAGTCCCATTCTGCATTTGGTTCTGACTGGTCAGGTAACCCTTGTTCCAGTGTACTGGGATATTCTGATCCTCCTCATCCAACTTCAACTCAATTAGAGTTGAAGGGGGGATGCTCTACATAATTAAAACTTAATTAATTAATAAGACTAACATTTATTTCTGTCTACCACTAATACAGGAAAAGCTTCACTGCTTTTAAATTCCATACACCTTCACCAGATTCATTTGGATGATTTCAGCTCTGGAATTGCCAATCAGTCTGATTAGGTTATAACATACATATAACACAGACCAGGAAAAAGAGTCATATTTTTAATGTCAATATGTAGTGTGTATAACACTATAAGATTTAACCGACTAAGATATTCTTCACCATTCACTTAAGAACTTGTTCATCTTCAGAGTGACATAACTCCACAACAAACAGTGTTATATTTTCTCAATTCACAAACTTTATTTTGCTGGAAAAAATGCATTGGTCTTGTGTTTGCAGATGGGAGCAGCTGTTTGGAGGCAGAGGGGAGCGTTCAGTTGCAGTAGTTTTGGAGGTCGAAGATGTTACACGGTTTATGACAACACTGCTCCACAATCCCACGCTTCACAATCATCTCCATCTCGTCTTTGTACGGAAACTCTGGCACCTCATTCTCCCCAGCGGCCTTCGGAGGGAGGAGACCTGAGGAGAAGCAAAACAAGAGTAAGTCAGATGCCCTTCCATCCTCCTCTGTCCCTGTGCATCAAATGTCCTATGCCCCTGAAGTGTTTAATTGAAGTGGGGGCCGGTCAAATGCACTAATAAGCCAATATAGTCATTATAATGAGAGATCTACCATAATCACTAGACTGTATTTTAAATTATCATTATTTGTAATGTATTTCCAGACCGAGTAGTGAGTCCACGTCTCTGGCTCCGCGGCCTGGGTTGTAGAAGAAGCCCCTCTCTCCACACACGAGGTACAGAGCATCGACGAGGTGAGAGCCACACAGGTGCTGAGGGGGAGCAGCGCCTTGAGAGCCCGACCAGGGGACCACCAACAAAGCCAGGAGGAAGGCAGACTGCAGGGAGCGGCACGCCATCGTCAGCTGGAACAAAACAATTACATAATAATCAAAACTAAAACGTGTGCTGGAACAAGACTCATTTGAGTAGGTATTGATACTAAAACAGTCACATGTACAGGACAGGACTTTTCTGGTTCGCCATCAGCTTATGTCCATTCAATATTTTACCAGGTAAGTCAGTTGAGAACACTTGCTCATTTACAATGACAACCTGGCCAAGAGGCAATATAAAACAAAAGCATAAACAGAAAACACTCACACATAAACTATAACATGAAACAGTGAATAGAGATATAAGACAGTAAAATATTTGCAGATTAAAGATATAAAAGTGTTAAAAACATGTGCAATTATCCTGTAAATTACTCTGGATGTAGTTTTTAAAAGTCGACAGAGGTAAAAATGAACTAGGTTTTAAAGTCTGTTGAAGATGGTTCCAATCATTTGCTGCAAAAAACTGAAATGAGGAACGAGTATAATGACTACAATGAGGTTTCAACAAGTCTGTAATGGTCATTAAAATTTGTCTACATAAAAGTTTAAAGCCGTACTGTGGAACATTACAGACAAAGCAACAATCTGTGGCGGTGCTATCCAGGAGCAGTAACATCTTGAAGAAGACTGAAATTTGAACTTTTAACTAATCCAGGAATCACATGCATTTCAGTTTATAGTCGCCTACCATACTGCAGAAAAATTAAGGCAAATTACACTTCCACGAAGACAAGAAAGTGGCGGACACCTCACCAGAAAAAGTGGCATAGTGTGCCTTTAAAAATTTAGTTAAAATACATAGATTTGAAATCACTGGTACCTGTCAGGTTGTCGTTGTAGAATTGAGAATCAGGAGAGGAGCCGGTTGCCTTTTGCATCGAGACTGACATGTGAGTTTTATTCATTTTTATACCGGTTGTGTCTCACCTGGGGCCTCCTCTTCACGTGTTTAACCTGTGGAAAAAAGACACACACATTACTCATGATTGAATGGACCATTTACTAAAACAACGAAGCAAATGAGACGAGATGATCTGATAACCACCAACTGTGCTATCTGTGGAACTTAACAGCGTGCAATTCTGCTGACCACTAGTTTCCTCTTCAAGAAAGAAAAGTTTTAACACACACACAAATCCTATTTGACTAATATATATATATATATATATATATATATATATATATATATATATATATATATATATTTTTTTTTTTTTTTTTATTAAAGTAACAGTACTCTTACTTGAGTAAAAGTTACAAGTGACAAAAGCTTTATGTTGACAATATGAAATTATTTGAACCTCTGTGTTTCTTGCAGTGCTTCTTCAGATATGATTTAGTTTGTTTCATCCTTTGAAAATACTACATTTTATGCATTATTTAATGTTTTGTCCTTCCAATTACATTTACCTCAAATTATAAATCAGATTATGTCTCAGCAGTTACTCTTTAAGTTACTCTTACTTGAGTTATACTTTTTCTTTGCATTTACTTGAATAATTTCTTTCATGATTTCTTGAATTTACTTGAGCAATGTTTTGAAATGACATTACTCTTACTGGAGTAAAAGTTTTGGCTACTCTTCTTCCAGTATTTCTCAAAATGTGTTTTTTGTCCTTTGGATAGTTTCTTGTTTAGAACTACAAAATAATGTAGAAATAATGTAGTCCACCTTTAGACTGGTTTAGCCCTGGAATATTCCTATTATAGACCTGGTTTAATTCTGGGTGTACACGGAAAGTCAAATCTTTTCTTTGGTGGTACATTGTGTGAATAGTATGAGTCACTGGTTCATTAACAATTAGCTGGAAATGCATATGACAGGTTAGTCTACTCATTTAGAGTAGAATTTCACTTCCTGGTTGAAAATGGTCAGTAGATGATATACTTAGAGGAGACAATTCCAAACTGTTACCTAGCAAACATAAGGTTAACAAGAGCCAAAACATGTCTAAAGACAAATACAAATAAACAACAACACTTTTATTTGATTAAATAAAGGTTTAAAGTGTCAAAAAATAAAGAAAAAAAAGAAAAAAAGCCTTCCTTGTGAGTAAATTGTCCCTACATTGTGGATGGAATTTTCCATGTTGATGGATTATGTTTTAGGGTAGGGAGATTCTGTTTTAGAACAAATTATATGTGGGGATTTTAATATTAATCTTCTGCCCACGAGAAAACAGCAGACTTCATGAACATGATGTACTGTAATATGCTCATCCCAATCATAGATAAACCAAGTAGGATTACCATTGACACTACTACACTGATAGACAATATATTCTCCAGTAAAATTGAAGTTAAAACAATTGGAGGACTCCTGATTAGTGACATAAGTGATCACCTTCCAGTTTTTGCAGTTTTTCAGAACTGTAATGAACTGAATTATGATTCCAAATCAAAATCATACAAATTCATAAGACGATTAACACCCCAGTCTTTAAATAATTTTAAGGAGGACTTAAAGAAACTTAGCTGGAATGATGTGTATAATCAGACTGATCCCAATGATGCCTATGAAACCTTCTTGTGTAAATACATCAAACTATATGAAAAAAAACTGTCCATTGCAAAAAGTAAATGATAATCAAAACTGTGTTAGAAAGCCTTGGATAACGAAAGGACTAGAAAATGCATGCAAGAAAAAACATTTACTATATAAAAGATTTATCCAACTCAGAACAAAGAAATCTGAAATTAAATATAAAAAGTATAAAAATAAATTGATAAGCATCCTGAGAAGTTGTAAAAAGAACTACTTTCACAAATTACTTCAAGAGCAAAGGGAAAATATAAAAGGAACATGGAAAGTGATAAACAGTATTATGGAAATAAGAGACAAAAACATGATATCCCAAACCACTTTACACATAATAATACCAGACTCGAAACTATAAAAGAGATTGTAGATGGGTTCAATCAGTATTTTGTTAATGTGGGTAATAACTTGGCAAAATCTATAGAAATGCACAGGAACTCTCTTCCATGTAATACAGTCTGTAGAAATCCAAACTCCTTCTATATGAATCCTACAAATGAAAATGAGATAGTTAAAATAGTAAAACAATTCAAACCAAAAACATCCAAAGATGCAGCTGGCCTAGACATGAACCTAATCAAGAATACAATAGAGCTCATAGCAGATCCACGAACACATATATAATCAGTCATTTGAAATGGGCAAATTTCCAGATAAAATGAAAATAGCAAGAGTGTTTCCAGTATACAAAAATGGGGAAAAAATATATATTTTCAAACTATAGACCAATTTCAATACTCTCTCAATTCTCAAAAATAATAGAAAAAATATTTGTTCATCGATTAGATAAATTCATAGAAAAATATGAGCTCTTAAGTGACCATCAACATGGATTCAGGAAAAATCGTTCCACCTCAATGGCTGTTATGAAATTGGTAGAAAATTTATCTACAGCAATTGATTCAAAGAAATACAGTGTGGGTATCTTTATTGACCTTAAGAAGGCTTTTGATACCCTCGATCATATTATATTATTGCAAAAATTAGAAAGATATGGACTGCGAGGACCTGTGCATGCCTGGCTACAAAGCTATCTACAAAACCGATACCAGTATGTTGAAATAAATAATGAAAAATCTGTATTGTTGAAAGTAAATTGTGGAATTCCACAGGGCTCGACGCTTGGGCCAAAACTATTTATTATGTATATAAATGATTTATGTTCGGCATCAAAAATGTTCAATTATGTCCTCTTCGCAGATGATACCACCCTCTACTGCTCAGGTGAAGACCAAAAGCAGCTTTTTCAAATGGTGAAGAGGGAGCTGCAGAAAATTAAAGTTTGGTTTGATATTAATAAATTATCGCTAAACATAGAAAAAACTAAATTTCTGATATTTGCAAAGCGAAAAGTACAAAATCATGTCCAAATTATGCTCAATAATACACCACTAGAAAGAGTCTTTCAAAATAAATTTTTAGGAGTAACCACAGATCATAATTTAAACTGGAAATCACACATAAATACAATTAGGAACAAATTATCCAAAGTGATCGCAATTATATATAAATATAGATATACCCTAGATAAAAACAGTATTTTTATTATATATAACTCGCTGGTAATGCCCTACATAACCTATGGTATTGAGATTTGGGGCAATACATATAAGATGAATACAAAGCCAGTCTTTACCCTGCAAAAAAAGGCAATAAGAGCAATCACATTATCAACTTATAACAAACCAACCAATGCATTATTTATAAACCTTCAAATGCTGAAATTTTATGATTTAGTCAACATTTACACTCTTAAAATCATGTTCAAAGTAAACAACAATCTCCTGTCAAAATCGTTACAGAACATGTTCAAAATCCGAAAGAGCCAATATGAGCTCAGAGGCACAACCATGTTTATTAAAAAGAAAATCAGAACAAACATTATGAAATTTTGTAAATCTGTTAAAGGGGTGGAGCTCTGGAACAACTGTACAGAAAACCTAAAATTGTGCACCACTCTCTTTCACTTCATAAAGAAGTTTAAAGGTTTAACTCTGGACAGATACATGAAATATGAGACTTTGTTTGTGCTGTAGTACTTTGTTATTCTGTTATTGATTAGCTTGTTTCTTCCTGCTGTATTTATGAAGATGAACTGATGTCAAGATGACGCTCTGACAAAGGAATAAAGGGTAGGCATGATAAGCTTTAAGCTTCAGCCTGCACCTTTTCGGTCTGTATATGTTAAATATGACTGTTTATGAATTAATGTCAAAATATACCTGTGACCGAAAAAATAAATAAATAAATAAACAATAAATAAATAAATAATACTTCCTGCTCTGTTGTACATTTTTTTCTCGACCTTTTCTACAAAAACTGACACCAAAAGTGTAAAAACATGATAAATATTGACCACAGCTACTATCCCTCCAAACCGAGTCAAAATTAGAAAAAAAAACATGAAAACATGTGAAGTGCACCTTAATTGTCAAAATGCAGAATTGTTGACCTGGTTTATGCTTAATATCTCCGTGACAGTTTTTGTTTTCATGTGGATTGACACAGTAATTACAAGTTCTTCAATGTTTTCTCTGTCAGTATAAAGACGCTATAGTGATTATTTCTCAATAGTTTTATAAAGTTGAGGCAAATCACAAAGGGACGGTTATTGCCATCTGAAAGGTCTTTAAGACACAAGATTAAAGTTTGTGGGTCCAATCTGTATGAAATAAGGTTAAAAGTTATGAATTTTCATACTGGGGAATTCAGCATTTATTCAAGGAAATAAATGCCGTTCTCAGACTCTGCATTTGCATTTGGTAAAAAGCTTGTTTTCAAAGTAATATTTTACTTGCACTATTTTACTTTACACGACAGGGACAGTGTATATGAATCTGTGATTAAAGTGTAAAAAACAAGTACACAATTTTACAAAAAAAGACAACACACAACATTAAAAGTCAAAATAAAACACCTGTAATTGAATAAATGCAATATGTAAATTTAATGCCATACTGTGGAATATTTTGGGCAAAGCAACATCTTCAAAGGTGCCAAACCCTCTAATAGAATTTAAATAATTTAACTCATACATATATTCCTTTCTTGCAGTGCCAGCAGAATCATTGTTTGCTCCCCCAGTGTTTGGTCAATTTCCCTCATAGGCAGTCTCCATGGTGACGCAGAGGGTTGTGTAGAAAACACTGGAACATTTCCAGGAAGACATTGCATGTTTCCTACATGCACTCAAATTAAATCTAAATGAGCTCACATGACTGTTTCATAATATCAGTTTTTCAGTTCGATTTTTAGATTTTGAATTCTGGTGCAATCACAGACTGGATAAAAAAGTGGGCTAAGCGAGAACTCCTCACCAACAGCGTTTGGATCCAGTCATATGCTAGCGGGCAAATTTGGAGCCAAGCAATATTAGGAATAGGATTTTTTAAAGGACAAAATAGCGAAATAAAAATACCAGGGTCATAGAAAGCAGAATATGAATACGAACATTTTAAGGCAAAAAAAATTATGAAGCTCACAGCAGCATTTATAGAAAAAATGGCCCCAATATTCCAATGTAAGTCAGAGCCAGGGTCAGTAAGAGCCAAGAATTTCCTAGTGCATTAACTACAGTATGTTCATTTATATATACAGTCTGTGGGCGAAATGTATTATTTTACTTTCCATTTGAACAAGGGCAGTAGATATGGCATATTTAGAGGTAATTCCATAATAATTATCTACCAACCATAACTTTAACAAATTCCCAAAACTTACACAATAGTTAAGATTAGACTAATAAAACAGATCATGTGGGTGGGTGGCGTGGGTGCTAAACCAAAGATGAGACTAAACCATGCATAAGGTAGATCTAAATAACAATCAAACAATAAAACAAATGCTCAAATGGTAGACACTTTATAACACTATTACAGTGGGATTAAACACCTAAACTCCCCTCACAAACACAACACGTTTCAAACAGAGCTGCTAAAGTGGGCAGTACCTGAAGGACTAAAGGGGAGAGTGAGGGGGGTCTGTTTGGAACAGTGTGACCGGTCCACTGTGACTGGTATCCAGATTTCAAACTCTACAGCCAGGTGTTTGTTTGATTACCGTCCTGTGTGATGTTACATAGTGCTAGTTATTTCCACTGGACAGCACAAACTTAGATTTGACTTCTTTAAAACATAAAGCTGCAAATTTACCTAGTTTGCACTAGAGATGCCCAAAAATTCTAAGAACAATAGTTATTATTATGACCATATACCACAGCTTAGTTCCACTCCAGTTTCATTCAGTGATCATAACACGGCATGATGTACCTGATTTTTACTGTTTACTAACTAGTTCATTTTAAACAGCTTGCAGTGGTCCAAAGTTATTCCTCACTTACCTTATGTATTCTAATTCTAATTATTCACCGCAATGAATTTATAAGCACTTTTCACAACTTTTAGAGAGAGTGGAGTTAACAACAACTAGCAGGAACTTCTTGATTATCAGAAAGTTAAAAACATTATAATTAGATGCAGACAGTACAAAAAGGACTTATTCTGACCTCAAGACCTATGCTTATACAATATATCTGTGCTGTAGCAAGACACAGTTTTTACTAATCAGAAAGATGCTGCTCTTTAGGGCTATAGGTGACTAAAGAAATTCTTTGTCGAGTTCAGGGCTAGGAGGGGGTCTCGCCCAGGGAGAAAATCAGTGTAGGTTCACCACTGGTCGAGTTAAGACATAGGCATAGTTAACTCACTCCATGCACTTCCTTGTCTGCTAAATAAACTGTTTATCAACATTGTTGATTAATCGATGATGTCTCGGTCAACAACTTTGACTAAGGAACTACAGCCCTAAATTATTTTATGTAAAATGCATTTCAACAACAGCAGATTGCGTGTATTGGTCCGATATTTTTATACATTTATGAACAGTACTTTCTGTGGATGGATACGAATCCTGTGTAAACCATCTAAACTCTGATTTAAGTTTAATAATGCGGTACAAAATATATCAATAAGTAACTGTAACATATCCGAGAGAGTGCGCGCGTGAGACAGAGGCGGAGTTAAGGTTTGAATTCAAAACGCGAGCCCCGCGCAGCCAATCAGCTTCGCCCTGACTTCTATAAAAAGCCGCTGCCTACGCCCGAACCTTACATCGTCTTAGGTTTTCACTGAACTCATAGAGCAGAGAAAATGGCCAGAACCAAGCAGACAGCGCGTAAATCTACCGGAGGAAAGGCTCCCAGAAAGCAGCTCGCCACCAAGGCTGCCCGTAAGAGCGCCCCGGCCACCGGTGGCGTCAAGAAGCCTCACCGTTACAGGCCCGGCACAGTGGCTCTCAGAGAGATCCGTCGTTACCAGAAATCAACCGAGCTGCTCATCCGCAAGCTGCCCTTCCAGCGACTTGTCAGGGAGATCGCCCAGGACTTCAAGACCGACCTGCGCTTCCAGAGCTCTGCCGTCATGGCTCTGCAGGAGGCTAGCGAGGCCTACCTGGTGGGTCTGTTTGAGGACACCAACCTTTGTGCTATTCACGCCAAGAGAGTCACCATCATGCCCAAAGACATCCAGCTGGCCCGCCGCATCCGCGGAGAGAGGGCTTAAGCCGACCTGTTACCGGACACCAACACAACGGCTCTTTTAAGAGCCACTTACATGAAACAAAGAGCAGACTCATTTGTCACCACACAAATTGCTCAATTATAAAATATAGGTGTCTCCAAAACGTACAAAGTGTTCTTAGTTAAAGTGCTGTAAAGGCATGAAGCTTCACTCACCGGAGCGTGTGAGAAGGCAAGTCGCAGTCTGTTTGATCAATGTCAGGTGGAGGGCCAGAAGGGCCCTGCTTTATTTTTTACATACCCTACATCCATGATATAACTTTAATGTGGTAAATATGTACTGCAGTTTGTGTTATATAAACAATATGAACAACAATACCTTTATATACAATGATATATAATCTGTGCTTCTCTCTGGACCAAGACTCCTTAGAAAAAGACAGGAATAATTTCAATTGCACTTTCCTGGTTAAATGAAGGTAAAGTATGTACAGTCCAATCAATGCCAAAACGGAAGTTCATGCTGGCCTCTGATTGGACTCTTGGACTAACGGTCAGTGTAGCCAATCAGAAGTCTACAAAGCTGCAATATATTCCCCTCTCAGCCAGTATTAGGTTTAGTTTCTCTTCGAAGACTACATCTATAAACATGTCTGGACGTGGTAAAGGAGCAGGCAAAGCTAGAGCTAAGGCCAAGAGCCGATCTTCCAGGGCCGGGCTCCAGTTCCCCGTGGGTCGTGTGCATAGACTGCTGAGGAAGGGTAACTATGCTGAGCGCGTTGGCGCTGGAGCCCCCGTGTATCTGGCCGCGGTGCTCGAGTATCTGACCGCTGAGATCCTGGAGTTGGCCGGCAACGCCGCCAGGGACAACATAAAAAGACCCGTATCATTCCCCGCCACCTGCAGCTGGCTGTCCGCAACGACGAAGAGCTGAACAAATTGCTGGGAGGAGTTACCATCGCCCAGGGTGGTGTGCTGCCCAATATCCAGGCTGTGCTCCTGCCCAAAAAGACCGAGAAGGCAAAGTAAACAAAGCCTGACCGAACCAATCACAACGGCTCTTTTAAGAGCCAATCACTTCTGGCGAAGAGTATCATTCTAATATTTGTAGACGTCAAATACCGTAAGCCTACGTCCTTCTGAAGAAGTCTGAATTTAACTCTTCTGTAAATGTTAACCATGAATTTCCACAACTCATTTATTTTGGTGTCTGAGTTTGACGTTTGTGATGGGAATGTCCTAGAAATCATGTTCTCATGAAACTAAAGAGCCACATGTACAATCTTATTTTAAGCACAATATTTTCTCATCTTAAACACACAGTACAACCGTATTTCACACATTTGTCTGTTATTACAAAGTTTGTAACCCTGATGTGATTTTGAACATTTTACAAGCCCGTGTTGCATCCTTTCTGATAATTTCAGAGCTCTAATGGTCTTCAATGAAGCATCAGTTTGCAACATTAGTCTTTTGTCTTTTGTTAGAATCACTGATAATTGAAAATCCAAATTCACAACTGGTACCCAGGATCCAGATATTTAAATAGATCCATGATGAGTACACAGTCTTTCTGTGCATATTCTGTCTTATTCTGTGTGTGCATCTTACTGTTAATCATCGACATTTATTTAATCATTAGTACATCACGATAGGAGTTTATAGTAAAGCGCATGGCAAATGTGCCAAATACTTTTGACTGTGGTCACTTAGAACAGGACTAAGGCTCCAGAGCTGCAGTGTCAAATGACTGAAAGAGCACAGAAAAACACATCAAGTTGCTAATTCAGAATAGAGACAGAAATTCAAGTCAAGTGGAGTCCAAGTCCTCTACATTAAGATTCAAGTTGTTGCAAGTGTTTCATCAAAATACAGCATTATTATTATTATTATTTTGTTTTCATTTTTTGAGGAGGAAGAGCATCAAGTCATCTCAAGTCACACAGCTCAAGTCCAAATCAAACCTTAAGGCTCAAAATAGTGACTCAAGTCAGATTCAAGTACCCTCCTCTGATAACCATATATTACTTTTGGAGTTAAACCATCCAGTAAATAATGACACATTTTTAAGTTAAACAAATTTTACATAACAAATCATGATACAGAACCTAGTATAGAATCAACATTATCTGAACATCTAATTCACTTTTACTGATTTCAGAAGCCTTTATATTTTTCACAGCTAAGGAATACAGCTTATAAACACGCTTCTAATCTATATGTCAGCATTGTACAAACAGAAGAAAATCGTTAGTACTACTTGGTAAAAAAAAAAAAAAAAAAAAACAGGAACAAATGAAATAAATAAAAATTTTAAAAAAGCAAAAAAAGAGAGCGGTGTGAAATTCGACCAATCAGATGTGAGGATCGGCGCAGCTGCTTTACATGAGGAGGGTATAAATACAGCTCTCAGGCGCTCCCTCTGACATTCGTTCGCCTGTTTTCAGAAGATTTTGTAATGCCTGATCCAGCCAAGACCGCGCCCAAGAAGGGCTCCAAGAAAGCTGTTACCAAGACAGCAGGCAAAGGCGGTAAAAAGAAGCGAAAGACCAGGAAGGAGAGCTACGCCATCTACGTGTACAAAGTTCTCAAGCAGGTGCACCCCGACACCGGCATCTCTTCCAAGGCTATGAGCATCATGAACTCTTTCGTCAACGACATTTTCGAGAGGATCGGCGGTGAGGCCTCCCGCCTGGCGCACTACAACAAGCGCTCCACCATCACCTCCAGGGAGATCCAGACCGCCGTGCGCCTCCTGCTGCCCGGAGAGCTGGCTAAACACGCCGTGTCTGAGGGCACCAAGGCTGTCACTAAATACACTAGCTCCAAGTAAACTGCGCCTGCGCGTTCATCCCAAAACAACGGCCCTTCTTAGGGCTACCCACTTCGGTAAAAGAGCTTTGCTTTTATTATACATTTCCGTATGATGTGCCGATACGCGAATATATGAGCGGGGGTTTTCAAACAAAGGTCTGTATTTGAAATTAACTGGACATTTTGAACGTGCCTTGAGTGATTGGCGCTGATTGCGTTATACTTTGACAAATTGAATTCTCTTCAGTTTTAAACTAACCAGTAAAATGCCCTCTTTACCGTCACAAAACGCCGCTTAATTCCTTGATTTAACGTTAAGATTTTCTATCAATTTTCTACTCCTAGTCTGAAATTACAAGCCCGAACTCTGACAGAACGGCTCTTGCCCAGAGACTGTCTTCTCCAACGTCCGCAAAGGCTGCATAAAAATAGCGGAGCAGTGCAGCGTTTTTCCGTCCCAAAACCGGAAGATGCTTGGAGACATATGTTTGATGATTTCCCGCGGGCCTGTTAGCGGTGACTCTGACAATCTTCGCGAAAACTGAGATCATGGCTCGGCTTTCTTCCTCTAGATGTCACTGTAGCGTACCGTTATGTTCGGCAAATCAGCATTATCAACCATACCTCAGTTTTCATAATTTTCCCACCGACACAAAACTCCGAGCGCGCTGGGTACGTGCCATTAGAAGAGATGAGGGCGCCGATTTCAAGATTCTTCCTGATAGCTCCTACGTATGCAGTCTTCATTTTACCGCTGATGACATTTACATTACACCTAAAGGTCGTAGACGTTTGAAAAAAGGGACAATTCCAACTAGATTTGCTTGGAAAAACTGGGGTCAAATTCAAAGACCTGTCCACCTATCTGTGTACCAGAAATCCAAGAGACAGAAGCTGGAAGCCACCAGTATCAGAGATGCCATTGAGGGAGATGAAGCAGCTGATTGTGAAGGAGCTTCACAACCCTCTGATCACGACTATGCTGCCCCTTCTCCACCTGGTAGGTTTATACCATTCTAGTGCGTATAAAAGACAACTCATCATAGCTAATCATTACTACAGTTAACTGTAGAAAATATCAACAATTAATGCTTTAATAGTGGGTGTATTGTACTTTATTGTTGTTAATAATCATGATCACTGAAAAATAAATACATATTTGAATTCTGATTATATTGTGGTGGTTTTCAGGTTCCTCTGATTTGGCACCAGGAGAAGTAATGATGCTTCAGTCCTCAGCGCTACAGGAGCTGAAAATTGCACAAATGCAAACACAATTAAAACATTTCTGTGCCTCTGACAGTGATTTTCGTTTTTACACCAATTTCCCATCAGAGAAGGTGTTCATGGTGTTTTGGGAATCTGTGTATCCCTCAGCATCCAGACTGGTGTACTGGACAAAGGCACAGAGGATGGCAGACCCCTTGACCACCAGTACTCTCCACAGTCTGACACTAATTGATGAATGTTTTCTTTTCTTCTGTCGCATCGCAGCTGGTTTAAAGGAAAAGGTGCTTTCATCAATGTTCAGTGTGAGCCAATCAACTGTGAGCTACATAATTATAACTTGGGCAAACTATTTGTATCAGGTCCTGGGGGCACAGCCGATGTGGATGTCTAGACGACAGGTCCAAGCAACTATGCCTGAAAAGTTCAGACAATACTGCCTCGATGTGAGGGTCATTATTGACTGCACGAAAGTCCACTGTGAGACCCCATCTGCCCCGACACATCAGTCAGAGCCATTCTCCAGCTACAAGAACAGCAACACATTCAAAAGTTTGATTGGCATTGCTCCATGTGGAGTTATCACCTTTGTGTCAAAGCTGTACACTGACTTTATTTCAGATAAAGAAATCACTGAAAAATCTAACCTGATCAGTTTTCTTCAGCCTGGAGATGAAGTCGTGGCTCACGAGGGCTTCATAATTCATGACCTTTTGGCTAAAGTTGGCGCCAAGTTGACCACTCCCCCTTTTGAGAATGCCTCCCACCTGAGCACAGAAGATGCACTAAAGACACAGGCCATGGCTCACCTTCGGGTGTTGGTTGAGAAGGCAATCCGAAGAGTGAAGGAGTATCACATCTGGGACAGAGTTGTGCCTCTCTCCTTGTCTGGGACTGTCAACCAGTTGTGGACCATTTGCTGCCTGCTGACTCACTACCAAAGCCCTTTGGACACCTCCAATGACATGGCACTTTGATTTCCCTTTTAATATTTATTGTATGAATTAAGTTGTAATTAAAGCACTTATTCAATAGAAATTACAATTTGAAGAATGCAGAGGAGTTTTTTTTTTTTTTAATAGTATGTTGAAATATTTGTAGATAACAAAAAAAGCTTTTGGACGTTTAATTTATTTCTATTTACTTGTACACATTTATATAAATATTTGACACCAGCCATTTGCTACTTTCTCTTTATTATAATATATTGTGATGTGTGAGCTACAATATCCAAGTAATATCCATTGTGGATCAATAAAATGTGTTTAAGGTACTTTTATAACGGAAAAAAAAAAATTACATATTGGTTCAAACACACAAAACAATGCATTAATGATTGAACACTAATCATAAATCACACAAATGTGTAATTTTATTTTCAACTTACTACTACCATTAAAAAAAAAAGAGTATGCATTCAAAATAATTCATTCTCTCCAGATCCTCTCCTGCATTTGAGTCTGTAACACCAGTCACACCAATCCAGCTGCAAACAGCCAACTGGCCTCTGACCTGCCACTGAGCTCAAACTTTTTTTTCAGACTGCATGTATTTCACCTCAGTTTCAAATGCAGATGACACATTTATTTTGGGACAATCCAGCAACCATCTTTCTTTCACTATCACAGCATTTACTTTTTTTTTTTACTTGATTTTATGGAGTCGAAATAAGTTTTCATTTTGATTTAACACTTGGCTCTCTACCTCCAGCTATAGCCCTCTTTCCATGGCAGGGGTCTCAACATTTCCTTTTAAAATATGAGTTGCCATGGATATTGCCGAGGACTCCCCACATACGTGACAGGCCTGACATCATGTGCAGCTAACGGATTACCCTCTTGTTTTAGTTTCTATGACAGCAGATAATTCTATGACAGTGATAATACTGTTCACAAGTTGGTGTGCACATATAGTTACTTTTGAAAGCGTAGCCAATAACAGTGAGTACAGGGAAATCAGGTGCATCTGTAGTACTGTGTGAGTAGAATCAAGCTCTTACAGCTCAGAGTAGAAGTGAACCAAAGGGCACAGGACCAAATCAGGACTCAATCATGGTCATCTCCTGCAGGTCATGTGGGATCCTTTAGCTTCTCACCAATGCTCATCAAATGTATGTTTTATAATTTTTTAAAAACTGGATTATGCATTTAATTTCATTTCACTATGTGCAACACTGTAAGCATTTTTAATTTTTTTTTGTAAAATGTGCCCTAGAAATAAAGTGGAGTGGATTGTTTAGATTAGGTCACAAATCCAACACAGAAGCAAAATGCTGAGGTACCACCCATTATATAAAATAACATAAACTGAATCAATTATCAACTTGTACATGTAGCATTTGATGTTTGATTTACACAGTTTTCCATATAGAACATGAATCTCTACTGCGATTTCACAGGAGGTTGAAACTCCAAAAGGTTGAGACCATTGGTTTAGAGCGCTGTGCAAACAGGGTCCAAGGCAATTAGGGCTGCTCAATAGTTAGAAACTCAATATATCAGTCTAATAACACAAACACTGCAATTCTCTTTCCCTGCATCATATCACATCATTCAATACCTTACATATAGAGTTAAATATTTTATAATCTGTTGTATTGAAAGCAGGCCCAGGTTTAAAGGGGATGCAAAAGGATGCATTGCAACCCCATTTTAAAATACTTGAAACATCGTCTTTGGCTGTCTAAACTAAGACACTTAAGAAGGGAGCATTGTATTTGCACCCCTTTGAAACTCAAAACACTGTATAGTGGTGTCGTAACATTTACATTAATATGTGTTGGGACAAAGGGGGAAATTATTTAATGTTTTACATTTGATGTAAACGTATAAAAATACAAGGACGTCACTGTTGAAACAAAGTGATAGGGACAAATATATTATAGCTCAACAAATGCGCCCAAGGGAGAAAGTGTCTGAGCATCTACAAAGCAGGGCTGAACAGTTTTACATGGCCAGTAAAAAAAAAACTGAAAAAATCCTAAACAACAGAAGTAGCATTAATGTACACGTGTATTATTGGGGTAGGGCAAGAATAATACCAATGCTGCATTACAAAATGACTGAAAGGCTCGTCCGCAGTTGTGCTTACTACCGCCACAAAGTTGGTTAATTACAACTAAACGCTGAAGCCACTCCACGAGTTTAATTTGTAAATGTAATGTTTGACATCTCTTTACTTGATCTAAATACAAAGTATTTCTCATTTGTCAAGGTTTTGTCCAGTTTAAGGCAAAATGTGGGAAAAAGTCGAAGCAGAGTGCCTCGCTCGTCTGGACATGGTCCGGGTTTGAGGGCTTGTAATTTAAAACGCAGGATCCTGAGCGTACGAGGGTGCGTTAAATTAAAAGATGTGATTGTGCACTAAAGCATGATATGAAAGAGTTCATGTAAAATATGTCATATTTGTGTATTTTTAACTTTAAACTGCGAAGAGAAAACACAGAGCGGAAACACTGACGCCGAGCAGAGGGCGTTGAGTCTCTACGGTTCTCATGTGCGTTATAACTGTGGTCCGCGCGCGCGCCCGGCCCACAGACTCGGATCTAACCCGACACGAACCCGAACCATGGCAGAGACCGTTCCCGTACCGGCCACCGCTCCGGCCAAAGCAAAGGCGCCCAGGAAGAAGGCCGCGGCCAAGAAGAAGGAGGGCCCCAGCCTGCAGAAGCTGATCACCGGCGAGATCGCCGCCTCCAAAGAGCGCAAAGGCGTCTCCGTGGCCGCTCTGAAGAAGGCTCTGGCCGCGAAGGGCGTGGATGTGGCCAAGGCCAACAAGCGCATCAACACTGCCCTCAAGAAGCTGGTGACCTCCGGCGCCGTCAGCCAGACCAAGGGCACTGGCGCGTCCGGTTCCTTCAAACTGGCCAAGACCGAGGCCAAGCCCAAGACCGTGAAGAAGAAGGCCGCCGCCAAGCCCAAGAAGCCCGCGGCCAAGAAAGCAGCCAGCCCCAAGAAGAAGGTGGCCGTCAAGAAGACCGCGGCCAAGAAGCCCAAGTCCCCGGCCAAGAAAGCAGCGAAGAAGGCGGCGCCCAAGAAAGCAGCAGCCAAGAAGCCCGCCAAGAGCCCCAAGAAAGCGGTGCCCAAGAAGCCCAAGGCGGTGAAGAAGACCCCGAAGAAGGCCCCCGCCAAGAAGGCCGCCCCCAAGAAGGCCAAGAAGTAAAGGCTGACGCGACCCCCGCCACACAAAGGCTCTTTTAAGAGCCACCACTCGCACTAAAGAGCTTCATCTTTGTCCAGTAATGTCAAATAATGTGCCCGGTGCGTCTGTAGGTGCTCCGCGATGCCCCTGTTAGTACGATCCGTCACCAGTCACGTGCTGCTATACTGCACAAACAGAACTATAAAATAATTAATATTAATGAGGAAATAATATGTACGTTATGAGGGCGCAAGTAGCATGTATGCTTATTTATAGTACTTATTTATGGTCGACTTTTATTCAGTTATATTATTATGCAATTAAAAAAAAAAAAAAAAAAGGTATCTTGTTGATATGACACAGGAAACGCATAATTACTGAAAATTATAATAAATAGAATTGCGGCTGCGGTTACACACACACTCAAAATCAAAAACCTGATTTCTGGAGTTAATAGTTTGTTTGAGATGCCCCGTTAACACCAAAGCCATATGATTTCTTTCCGATCATGCTCCCTCTCATTACTCACATCAGAGTTTGTGGATTTTGAAAGTCATTTACCTAATCTCAGAAATCTGATTTTGGCCGCGCGCATGTGTAAACAAAGCCTCTGACAGTATCTTGACAAAGGCTCATTCTTCACCAGCGTGAGCCATAGACCGTACGATGTGAACCTCTGAACAAGCGCGCGGGGCAGAGGCGGGGTTAAAGTTTGAACTCAGAGCGCGAGCCCCGCGCAGCCAATCGGCTTCGCCCTGGTTTCTATAAAAAGCCGCTGCCTACGCCCGGACCTTATATCGTCTTAGGTTTTCACTGAATTCCTAGAGCAGAGAATATGGCCAGAACTAAGCAGACCGCGCGTAAATCCACCGGAGGAAAGGCTCCCAGGAAGCAGCTCGCCACCAAGGCTGCTCGTAAGAGCGCCCCGGCTACCGGCGGTGTTAAGAAGCCTCACCGTTACAGGCCCGGCACAGTGGCTCTCAGAGAGATCCGTCGTTACCAGAAATCCACCGAGCTGCTCATCCGCAAGCTGCCCTTCCAGCGACTTGTCAGGGAGATCGCCCAGGATTTCAAGACCGACCTGCGCTTCCAGAGCTCTGCCGTCATGGCTCTGCAGGAGGCCAGCGAGGCCTATCTGGTGGGTCTGTTTGAGGACACCAACCTGTGCGCGATTCACGCCAAGAGGGTCACCATCATGCCCAAAGACATCCAGCTGGCCCGCCGCATCCGCGGAGAGAGGGCTTAAGCCGACCTGATACCGGACCCCAACACAACGGCTCTTTTAAGAGCCACCTACATGAAACAAAGAGTCACACTTAAACTGATTGCTTGGCTTGTTTTATGCCTTAGGCCATCTGAAAATTACTGGTTGAAGTCACTCACTACGCACTACATTTACTTCCACACTATTCATGAGTGTGCTCCTAGCTCCAGTCTCAAATACGACCCGACCCCCGCCTATGAATGGGAATTCACGAAGATAATGCTGTGCTGACCATATGTACCTCCTGTCCTTTCTGGAGGGCCCGTAGCTACGCTGTCGCTTTACCTGTGAGACTTTATATTTCAGGTTCACTTGCCTCTTTGACGCTTACACCAGAAACGATCATCTTTGCATCATAATTATCTTGATTTATGAATACGGACTTAATCATGTTACATGTCATGTCATGGCAACTTTTCTATATTTTACCCCAATAGATATTCATTTATGCCTCTCTTTACTGCTGGCAGGGGCCAAATTGGTTAAAAATGGGGACACCTGGGATATTTCTTGGATGAAACTGGGACTTTTTTTTTTTTTTTTTTTTTGATAACTCTGCTGGGGAACACAGGGCTCAAAATTGGGACTATCCAGGGTTAATAGGGACGTCTGCTCAACCTAGACACAACACAGTCGGTAATATTTGTCCCCTCAATAAACTACTGAATATATTTTACAAGGTCTGAGGCCCCGTCTTTACTGTATCAAGAAAGTACAATAAAGTTCGCAAAAATATATTACTTGATACGTATCCGTATCAGTTTATCGTCGCCTTTCAATGTTTGTTTTGTGTAAACATGAACGTTCTCCTGCTCTGAGGCATCAAAAGGCAGGTTTTGTGAACAAATGTTTCTTTATTTTCAAGATTTATGTGATCCTTGTGAAAAGCGCGCGCTCTGCGTTGTTTTCAAAGTGTGAGTGAGCGTGTTTTCTTATTGGTGAAGTCTCTCTCCGACGGACCAATCAGCGATCAGGAGGGCCTTTATAATTCCAACCGCTGCGCCAGAGGGTCACAGTTGATTCTTTTTTAGACTCAATACTCACTAACGATGTCTGGACGTGGTAAAGGTGCAGGCAAAGCCAGGGCTAAGGCTAAGAGCAGGTCCTCCAGGGCGGGGCTGCAGTTCCCCGTGGGCCGTGTGCACAGGCTGCTCAGGAAGGGCAACTACGCCGAGCGTGTTGGCGCCGGAGCCCCCGTGTACCTGGCCGCGGTGCTCGAGTATCTGACCGCTGAAATCCTGGAGTTGGCCGGCAACGCCGCCAGGGACAACAAGAAGACCCGTATCATCCCCCGCCACCTGCAGCTCGCTGTCCGCAACGACGAGGAGCTGAACAAACTGCTCGGAGGAGTTACCATCGCCCAGGGTGGTGTGCTGCCCAATATCCAGGCCGTGCTCCTGCCCAAGAAGACCGAGAAGGCCAAGTAAACTGTCTCACCGAACCAATCACACAACGGCTCTTTTAAGAGCCACCCACTCGTTACAAAGAGCATGAGCTTTATTACACGCCTGCCTGGGTCTGAATTTAGAAGGGACAATCTATGTATGCCGCTTTCCTAACTTGGTGACATAAGCACAGCGATTTTTCTTTAGCAGCGCAAGGACAGCATTAGGATAGGACTGTCATTGGTGAAAATCACATTTGTACATTAAAGTATTTCAAAGTCCTGTTAAACGAGGTATTGTTTGCAATGAAACGCACGATTAACGCCGAAACGCTCTTTTCAAAGGCGTCTACAGTGTTGAACCGTCATAATTAAAAGTGGGGGGAAAATGCACGGCCCATGCAGGTGGCCGATGTCCAAAACTTGCTAGATAATCGTTTCTTTGCTTTGGGCCACACGGCTGACACATGCATTAAGTTGATGTTTTGTCCACTCGACTCATATGAAAGAGTCGTTCATAGAGAAAATAAAGAAGAGAATATCATATTCCATGCTAAGGAACAAAAGCACAATTTTAATGTCTACATCGAGTGAAACAAGAGAACGAAACCATTCCTACAGCGCTAAGCATTTCGGAATTCGGGCAAAACTAGAATTTATAAAAACGAAAGAGAGCGGTATGCCATTCGACCAATCAGATATGAGGATCGGCGCAGCTGCTTTACATGGGGCAAGTATAAATACAGTTCACAGGCGCTTTCTCTGACATTCGTTCGTCTCTTAGCGGAAGAGCACGTCATGCCTGACCCAGCGAAGACGGCGCCCAAGAAGGGCTCCAAGAAAGCCGTGACCAAGACCGCCGGCAAAGGTGGTAAGAAGAAGAGAAAGACCAGGAAGGAGAGCTACGCTATCTACGTGTACAAGGTGCTCAAACAGGTGCACCCCGACACCGGTATCTCCTCCAAGGCTATGAGCATCATGAACTCCTTCGTCAACGACATTTTCGAGAGGATCGGCAGTGAGGCTTCCCGCCTGGCGCACTACAATAAGCGCTCCACCATCACCTCCAGGGAGATCCAGACTGCCGTGCGCCTCCTGCTGCCCGGAGAGCTGGCCAAACACGCCGTGTCTGAGGGCACCAAGGCCGTCACCAAGTACACCAGCTCTAAGTAAACTGCGCCTGCGCGTTCATCCCAAAATAACGGCCCTTTTTAGGGCCACACACAGCTTACAAAGAGCGCTGTCTGTTTTTGTTTTCTTTTTCTTTTAAAGATTCAGTTTAAGGGTTGCAGCACAATACCTGTCAGTAATGACAGTTCTTTACAAAACATTAAATGATCGGGGCCAGTGTCTTTCTAAACTTAAGTGGGACTCTAGTTCTTCAGTCATTTCATTAAGGTTGAGCAGTTTCACTCTTAACCTACACAAAGCCATATTTCGGTCCTAAACTCTCAAAAATATTCAGTTGGTGTTTTTCTTTATTGTACAACTAGTCATCGTTGTGATGAATTTAGGATGTTCTGCTTCAGTCTTGTTCCTCCTCAGGTGTGAGGAGTGCAGCCCGTTTTGTTCACCTGTTCAGATGATTTGAAGCTTCTCTGTCATCTGTCCGATAGGTCATCTATATCGCACCTCCACAGAGTATGAATTGTGTGGAGGCTTGTCTTCCAAGTCATCTATTAAAAAAAATATATATATATATATATATAGATAGATAGATATGTGATTGTTCAGTTTATTTTATTTTATTTTATTACCTCCGCCAAGGAGGTTATGTTTTTGCCGGCATTTGTTTGTTTGTTTGTCTGTTAGCAACATAACTCAAAAAGTTATAGACCGATTTTGATGAAATTTTCAGGATTTGTTGGAAATGTGAAAAGGAAGAACTGATTTCATTTTGGGGGTGATCCGGAAGAAATCCTGGATTCTGGATCACTTTGAAATTTTAGTTAACATTGTGGTAAATGGGGCCAAAAATTTTGTTTCTCAATATCTCGGTTAATTATTGACGAAACCCCATGAAATTTGACTCAGGGATGGACAATGGGATCATATTCCAAAGGCTGATTCGGATCTGATCCAGAAGACTGATTTTATCGCAATTTATATAAAAATGGGGGTAGTCCTTGGCGGAGGTCTGCGCTCTCTGAGTGCTTTTCTAGTTTTATTTATTTAATGAGACAGGAACAGTGCACAGTATATATTAACCTCAACAGGAGAGATATCAGGTTGTAGCACTAGTGCTAATTTCCACCTGTAGTCCCCTAGCCAAGCCTAGCTATCAGCTGTTCTTCCTGGAGACCTATGTAGCATGTTTTGGATGAATATAAACTCAGATAGTGGATCTGAAAAGTCTTCTTTGTTCTTTGTAAACTGTTTTTACTCTTTGGAAGTTCAGTCACTCCAGTGTTTTGGGAGTTTGGTCCCTTTTTTTCTTGAGTGAGCTACAAAGGTACCTCATAGCAAAAAATCAAAGGTATACTGTCTAAAGCAGACTTGGAGAGACTTATCCATGCGCTTGTCCCCAGTAGGTTAGACTACTGTAATGGTGTCTCACTGGCCTCTCCAAACGAGCCGCGAGACAGCTACAGTACATCCAGAACACTGCAGCTCGGGTCCTGACTCGAACTAGGAAGTACGAGCACATAAGTCCTGTGCTCAGGTCTCTGCACTGGCTCCTGTGGCTCTTAGAACAGACTTTAAAGTGATCTGCTTGTGTACAAGTCTCTCCATGGCCGAGCACCAAATTTTGTGACTCTGTCCCTCTAATTTATGTAATTAATGTCTCTTTTTCAATTTTAATCTTTAATTTTATGATGATTATTAGTTTTTATTGTGATTTTAATGCTTTTCTCATTCTGTAAAGCAGTTTGAATTACTTTGTGTACGAATTGTGCGATACAAATAAACTTGCCTTGCCTATTTCCTATACAACAGGTGATAAAATGTGTGTGAGATGAGAACCAGCTCTCGTGTGTATTATTTTTTCAGAGGCTAAAATGGTTTGGAGAGGAGCTGGTTCTTGGACAAACACTTTATTTTTGCATTTGAGATTGCTCTTTATTGGGTCACGTCACACTCCACTTCTTTTTACAGTCTATGTCCAGGACTCAGACCGGTTCAGGAGGCTGCTGTCCCGCAGCCCAAACATGTCCAGCTCAAAGGATTGTCGTGAATTTGGTGTGAATTAGGAGAAATTATTAGTGAAAAAGCCTGTGTGTATGGGACTTTATTACTCATGATGCACCTGTTGGTATTGTAGTTCCGGAAAGCCCATGTCCCGAGTTCTCTGCAGTATTATTATTATTATTGTGTAAGGAGCGGAGCACAGTGCTTACCTCAGGCATCCTGTCTAATCTTGTGTGTACAAGCACAGTGTACGTCCATACGATGTAAGTATTGTTCGTAATTTAATATGAATCTATATTTTGTAAGTTTATTTACAAATGTGTAGTTTTCATTGCTTGATGTTTTGACGCTATTACTTTTATGTAGGCGAATTTCACCTGACATCATTGTTATTAAAAACCCGCGTTGCATGCTGGGAAATATTTTGGTCGGAGGCAAGAAACATGATAGCAGTCAAACACAGTGCATAACCTCGCATATTTGTCCCCGATAATGGTAAATTCCTGCTGCATTATGGGATGCACAAATAGAAGCACGGAAGAAGGAATGTCTTTTTCGTATTCTGAGTGAAAAGAACCGCTAACGGCGAATTAAATGGCTTTCAAACATTCACAGAGCAAACGTAGAAGATCCTAACAAACCGTGGACTCCAACAAGTTCAACAACGCATCGAGACTCTTGGAGGCTTTCATCTTTTCTGCTGTGAATGGCCCAGGAGTTTCCCTCAAGTAATTGTGGATATCGCTGAAGTGAATATTTGGCCAGGTAGTTGGCGATTCCGACCAGAAATTTGGTTTTGTCTAAATTTGTAGGGGTTGAAAAGGGTGATTTGGCGTCCATCGATGCTTATGATCAATTTCTGGTCACATTGTCAGGATCAGTGCCTCTGTGCTGTCCTTCAGACCAGCCCTCTCAAGCCATTGGCAGGATTTCTTGATATCAGCCACTTCAGTTATGTTCCGGTGGTACAGCCCCATGTAGGGGTTTGTCCTGCCATGATGGTCCCTCCAGCACCTCTTCCTCTGGACCCCACTGTCTGAGACATTCTCTGAGCACCTCATCTGTCGGGGCCTTGTCCTTGATGTACTCAAGGAGCTTGGATGTTTCATCCTGGACAGTGGTTCCCACACTCACTAGTCCTCGGCCTCCTTCATTCCGGCCTGCGTACAGTCTCAGGGTGCTGGATTTGGGATGGAACCCTTCATGCATGGTCAGGAGCTTTCGTGTCTTAACATCTGTGATCTGTATCTCCTCCTTTGGCCAGCTTACAATTCCTGCAGGGTATCTTGCCTCTTCGAGGTTGCCATTTGCTTGTGGGATACCAAGGTACTTGTAACTGTCCTCAACGTCTGCTATTGTTCCCTCTGGGAGTGAGACCCCCTCTGTGTGGACTACCTTCCCTCACTTTGTCACCATCCTGCTACATTTCTGAAGCCCGAATGACATCCCAATGTCTGTACTATATATATATATATATAATGAATATCTATACAAATATGGACAAAAGAATGCCCCCTCTTTTAATGGAAATAATAATATTTTCAGCCTACCAAGGGCTTCATTTTATAGACACCCTGAAAATCTAAGTGAAATAATGTTGTGGCAGGTTAGTCGAGTTTGCCAAAAATGTAATTGTTGCAACTCAAAATGCTTCTCAATCTCTTGTGTGCCCCCCACGTGCTTGTATGCATGTTTGACAACGTCATGACACAACATTTATGGATCTTTTAGGGATGAGCTTTTAACCATGATGAATTGCTCTCTTCAGACGGGGGTCTTTCCTGCTGCCTTCAAAACTGCAGTGGTGAGGCACCTGCTGAAAAAGAGCAATTTAGATTTTAATGATTTTAACAACTACCGACCAGTGCCTAACCTACCATTTTTAAGCAAAATTTTAGAAAAACTTGTTTTTATCCAGCTAAATATTTTTTGTTTAGATGATCATAACATCTTGGAAAAATTTCAGTCTGGTTTTAGGGTGAACCACAGCACCGAGACTTCCCTGGCAAAGATTTAAAATTATTTTAGAATAAATTGCGATTCACAAAAAGTGACCGGGTTGGTTCTACTGGATCTGAGCGCTGCCTTTGATACAGTAGACAACTCTATTCTTTTACTGTATGTGTCCCTCCATGGATATGCCTCTCCAGTCCAGCACTGACCTACCACCAAACCACTCATGCTGAACCATGGTGCAGGCAGCATCGTGTTCTCCTTGTCTTCTCCAGACTCTTTCACGTCTATTACAGGGTGAACCTGCTTTCATCTGTGAAAAGCAAAGGGCAATCTGTAAATTCTGTAGGGTTAAGGAATGGCCTCATCCTCCAGTAGTGGTTATCACTCCACATACACCTCCACATACAAAACCAGTTCTGTTTTAGGGGTTGTCTCAAGATGTTTTCAGGCCAACCAGTAAGCTGCTGGTGCCGGTGCCAGTGCTCACCCGTGAACGACCCATGTTCAAACCATTGAAATGCACCAATGTTGCGTCATTGACAGAAGTTGTGAATTTGCCACCAAATAAAAACAAGGCCATACGAAATAACAAATAAGGATCACATCCTTGACTACAAGTGAGCATTTGTACTCAAATCATTATTTATCTGCACCAAGCAATCCTACAACATCTGTTATGGAGAAGGCAGCAGTGATGCCTAATCCAAAGATATAACTTCACTGAGCGAACACGGATATAGCAAATATTTGTTCTTGTCACTTGATTTCTCCACCATGTGTGACCTGGATGAACCTGCTGACATCTACTGTGTCGTCACTGTTCGCTTGGTAAAAACAAGTTTTACTTGGTTCCCGTTGAGAATAAACTTTTCGGTTCCCACATGTTCTGATTTTCGGATACCGGTTTGAGATGAGATGAGGGAACCAACACCGGCACGGTTACCTGTCGGCCTGAAAACATTATGGCACCTGTTGTTCATTTCCATTAAAAGAAGCATCACCTTTTTGTTCCTTATATAGATTTGTTTTTCTCTCTCCACATTGAGATCTAATGTGTTTTTAAAGTGTTCTCTTATTTTTGAAGCAGTGTAAATAGTGCTGTCTACTGGAATATACATGATTGAATTGGTGACATCATATGAGAAAAATCATATTTGAGAATACAGACTCGAAACTTTTACAAACCATAGAAATCTGTTATGTTTGGGTGACTAACGAATTAAACGTATTTTACACGTGAGTCTAAGCACGTTTTAGCGCCTTGAAAAAGGGATGCTAGTCTAGCTGCTTTTTGTTTTTTGTTTTTTTGTGTGTGAGTGTTTGTTTCCAGCTGCTGATTCTGTTGTCAGCCTGGAAGTGCAAAGGAAATCCTTACAGGAACAACGTTTGAATTGACATCATATGGGTATTATGAAAAAAAAAAAAACTTGTTGCAAAGCACTAAAGGCACAGTTTTCCACACCAAGACACTGTAAGGTTTAATATGTTTTAATGGTAAAGCAGTACAATTATTTTAAATATCCTCTAAAAGACTAAAAGTTATTACTACTCAACTCATCCAAAAATCCTTTGCCACGTCAGGTCTTGATGCGAAGTGAGAGTTCCTGTCCATTAAAAGTAAAAATTATATAATATATATATATATTACGAAAAGGTTACTGTCAAATCCCAGACACCATATCTAAGCAATTATAACCAACTATTAATGATGGTGAGATGAAGCCTCATGATGCATTGAACTACTTGAATTATTGTTTCAAGAAAGGGGTCATTTATAATATAATAAATTTTGTATGTATTCTGTGTGTGTAAATTTCCCCAAAATGGTAATATCATAAAATGTCAGGTTAAGCTGTTTTTTTTCTGAAAACAGCACAGATGTAATCAGGCAAAGGACAATATCTCATTAAAAAATAAAATAAACTGAACAATCACATATCTATCTATCTATCTATATATATATATATATATTTTTTTTTAATAGATGACTTGGAAGACAAGCCTCCACACAATTCATACTCTGTGGAGGTGCGATATAGATGACCTATCGGACAGATGACAGAGAAGCTTCAAATCATCTGAACAGGTGAACAAAACGGGCTGCACTCCTCACACCTGAGGAGGAACAAGACTGAAGCAGAACATCCTAAATTCATCACGAACGATGACTAGTTGTACAATAAAGAAAAACACCAACTGAATATTTTTGAGAGTTTAGGACCGAAATATGGCTTTGTGTAGGTTAAGAGTGAAACTGCTCAACCTTAATGAAATGACTTGAAGAACTAGAGTCCCACTTAAGTTTAGAAAGACACTGGCCCCGATCATTTAATGTTTTGTAAAGAACTGTCATTACTGACAGGTATTGTGCTGCAACCCTTAAACTGAATCTTTAAAAGAAAAAAAAAAAAAAAACAGACAGCGCTCTTTGTAGGCTGTGTGTGGCCCTAAAAAGGGCCGTTATTTTGGGATAAACGCGCAGGCGCAGTTTACTTAGAGCTGGTGTACTTGGTGACGGCCTTGGTGCCCTCAGACACGGCGTGTTTGGCCAGCTCTCCGGGCAGCAGGAGGCGCACGGCAGTCTGGATCTCCCTGGAGGTGATGGTGGAGCGCTTATTGTAGTGCGCCAGGCGGGAAGCCTCACTGCCGATCCTCTCGAAAATGTCGTTGACGAAGGAGTTCATGATGCTCATAGCCTTGGAGGAGATACCGGTGTCGGGGTGCACCTGTTTGAGCACCTTGTACACGTAGATAGCGTAGCTCTCCTTCCTGGTCTTTCTCTTCTTCTTACCACCTTTGCCGGCGGTCTTGGTCACGGCTTTCTTGGAGCCCTTCTTGGGCGCCGTCTTCGCTGGGTCAGGCATGACGTGCTTCTTCCGCTAAGAGACGAACGAATGTCAGAGAAAGCGCCTGTGAACTGTATTTATACTTGCCCCATGTAAAGCAGCTGCGCCGATCCTCATATCTGATTGGTCGAATGGCATACCGCTCTCTTTCGTTTTTATAAAATTCTAGTTTTGCCCGAATTCCGAAATGCTTAGCGCTGTAGGAATGGTTTCGTTCTCTTGTTTCACTCGATGTAGACATTAAAATTGTGCTTTTTGTTCCTTAGCATGGAATATGATATTCTCTTCTTTATTTTCTCTATGAACGACTCTTTCATATGAGTCGAGTGGACAAAACATCAACTTAATGCATGTGTCAGCCGTGTGGCCCAAAGCAAAGAAACGATTATCTAGCAAGTTTTGGACATCGGCCACCTGCATGGGCCGTGCATTTTCCCCCCACTTTTAATTATGACGGTTCAACACTGTAGACGCCTTTGAAAAAGAGCGTTTCGGCGTTAATCGTGCGTTTCATTGCAAACAATACCTCGTTTAACAGGACTTTGAAATACTTTAATGTACAAATGTGATTTTCACCAATGACAGTCCTATCCTAATGCTGTCCTTGCGCTGCCAAAGAAAAATCGCTGTGCTTATTTCACCAAGTTAGGAAAGCGGCATACATAGATTGTCCCTTCTAAATTCAGACCCAGGCAGGCGTGTAATAAAGCTCATGCTCTTTGTAACGAGTGGGTGGCTCTTAAAAGAGCCGTTGTGTGATTGGTTCGGTGAGACACAGTTTACTTGGCCTTCTCGGTCTTCTTGGGCAGGAGCACGGCCTGGATATTGGGCAGCACACCACCCTGGGCGATGGTAACTCCTCCGAGCAGTTTGTTCAGCTCCTCGTCGTTGCGGACAGCGAGCTGCAGGTGGCGGGGGATGATACGGGTCTTCTTGTTGTCCCTGGCGGCGTTGCCGGCCAACTCCAGGATTTCAGCGGTCAGATACTCGAGCACCGCGGCCAGGTACACGGGGGCTCCGGCGCCAACACGCTCGGCGTAGTTGCCCTTCCTGAGCAGCCTGTGCACACGGCCCACGGGGAACTGCAGCCCCGCCCTGGAGGACCTGCTCTTAGCCTTAGCCCTGGCTTTGCCTGCACCTTTACCACGTCCAGACATCGTTAGTGAGTATTGAGTCTAAAAAAGAATCAACTGTGACCCTCTGGCGCAGCGGTTGGAATTATAAAGGCCCTCCTGATCGCTGATTGGTCCGTCGGAGAGAGAGACTTCACCAATAAGAAAACACGCTCACTCACACTTTGAAAACAACGCAGAGAGCGCGCGCTTTTCACAAGGATCACATAAATCTTGAAAATAAAGAAACATTTGTTCACAAAACCTGCCTTTTGATGCCTCAGAGCAGGAGAACGTTCATGTTTACACAAAACAAACATTGAAAGGCGACGATAAACTGATACGGATACGTATCAAGTAATATATTTTTGCGAACTTTATTGTACTTTCTTGATACAGTAAAGACGGGGCCTCAGACCTTGTAAAATATATTCAGTAGTTTATTGAGGGGACAAATATTACCGACTGTGTTGTGTCTAGGTTGAGCAGACGTCCCTATTAACCCTGGATAGTCCCAATTTTGAGCCCTGTGTTCCCCAGCAGAGTTATCAAAAAAAAAAAAAAAAAAAGTCCCAGTTTCATCCAAGAAATATCCCAGGTGTCCCCATTTTTAACCAATTTGGCCCCTGCCAGCAGTAAAGAGAGGCATAAATGAATATCTATTGGGGTAAAATATAGAAAAGTTGCCATGACATGACATGTAACATGATTAAGTCCGTATTCATAAATCAAGATAATTATGATGCAAAGATGATCGTTTCTGGTGTAAGCGTCAAAGAGGCAAGTGAACCTGAAATATAAAGTCTCACAGGTAAAGCGACAGCGTAGCTACGGGCCCTCCAGAAAGGACAGGAGGTACATATGGTCAGCACAGCATTATCTTCGTGAATTCCCATTCATAGGCGGGGGTCGGGTCGTATTTGAGACTGGAGCTAGGAGCACACTCATGAATAGTGTGGAAGTAAATGTAGTGCGTAGTGAGTGACTTCAACCAGTAATTTTCAGATGGCCTAAGGCATAAAACAAGCCAAGCAATCAGTTTAAGTGTGACTCTTTGTTTCATGTAGGTGGCTCTTAAAAGAGCCGTTGTGTTGGGGTCCGGTATCAGGTCGGCTTAAGCCCTCTCTCCGCGGATGCGGCGGGCCAGCTGGATGTCTTTGGGCATGATGGTGACCCTCTTGGCGTGAATCGCGCACAGGTTGGTGTCCTCAAACAGACCCACCAGATAGGCCTCGCTGGCCTCCTGCAGAGCCATGACGGCAGAGCTCTGGAAGCGCAGGTCGGTCTTGAAGTCCTGGGCGATCTCCCTGACAAGTCGCTGGAAGGGCAGCTTGCGGATGAGCAGCTCGGTGGATTTCTGGTAACGACGGATCTCTCTGAGAGCCACTGTGCCGGGCCTGTAACGGTGAGGCTTCTTAACACCGCCGGTAGCCGGGGCGCTCTTACGGGCAGCCTTGGTGGCGAGCTGCTTCCTGGGAGCCTTTCCTCCGGTGGATTTACGCGCGGTCTGCTTAGTTCTGGCCATATTCTCTGCTCTAGGAATTCAGTGAAAACCTAAGACGATATAAGGTCCGGGCGTAGGCAGCGGCTTTTTATAGAAACCAGGGCGAAGCCGATTGGCTGCGCGGGGCTCGCGCTCTGAGTTCAAACTTTAACCCCGCCTCTGCCCCGCGCGCTTGTTCAGAGGTTCACATCGTACGGTCTATGGCTCACGCTGGTGAAGAATGAGCCTTTGTCAAGATACTGTCAGAGGCTTTGTTTACACATGCGCGCGGCCAAAATCAGATTTCTGAGATTAGGTAAATGACTTTCAAAATCCACAAACTCTGATGTGAGTAATGAGAGGGAGCATGATCGGAAAGAAATCATATGGCTTTGGTGTTAACGGGGCATCTCAAACAAACTATTAACTCCAGAAATCAGGTTTTTGATTTTGAGTGTGTGTGTAACCGCAGCCGCAATTCTATTTATTATAATTTTCAGTAATTATGCGTTTCCTGTGTCATATCAACAAGATACCTTTTTTTTTTTTTTTTTTTAATTGCATAATAATATAACTGAATAAAAGTCGACCATAAATAAGTACTATAAATAAGCATACATGCTACTTGCGCCCTCATAACGTACATATTATTTCCTCATTAATATTAATTATTTTATAGTTCTGTTTGTGCAGTATAGCAGCACGTGACTGGTGACGGATCGTACTAACAGGGGCATCGCGGAGCACCTACAGACGCACCGGGCACATTATTTGACATTACTGGACAAAGATGAAGCTCTTTAGTGCGAGTGGTGGCTCTTAAAAGAGCCTTTGTGTGGCGGGGGTCGCGTCAGCCTTTACTTCTTGGCCTTCTTGGGGGCGGCCTTCTTGGCGGGGGCCTTCTTCGGGGTCTTCTTCACCGCCTTGGGCTTCTTGGGCACCGCTTTCTTGGGGCTCTTGGCGGGCTTCTTGGCTGCTGCTTTCTTGGGCGCCGCCTTCTTCGCTGCTTTCTTGGCCGGGGACTTGGGCTTCTTGGCCGCGGTCTTCTTGACGGCCACCTTCTTCTTGGGGCTGGCTGCTTTCTTGGCCGCGGGCTTCTTGGGCTTGGCGGCGGCCTTCTTCTTCACGGTCTTGGGCTTGGCCTCGGTCTTGGCCAGTTTGAAGGAACCGGACGCGCCAGTGCCCTTGGTCTGGCTGACGGCGCCGGAGGTCACCAGCTTCTTGAGGGCAGTGTTGATGCGCTTGTTGGCCTTGGCCACATCCACGCCCTTCGCGGCCAGAGCCTTCTTCAGAGCGGCCACGGAGACGCCTTTGCGCTCTTTGGAGGCGGCGATCTCGCCGGTGATCAGCTTCTGCAGGCTGGGGCCCTCCTTCTTCTTGGCCGCGGCCTTCTTCCTGGGCGCCTTTGCTTTGGCCGGAGCGGTGGCCGGTACGGGAACGGTCTCTGCCATGGTTCGGGTTCGTGTCGGGTTAGATCCGAGTCTGTGGGCCGGGCGCGCGCGCGGACCACAGTTATAACGCACATGAGAACCGTAGAGACTCAACGCCCTCTGCTCGGCGTCAGTGTTTCCGCTCTGTGTTTTTCTCTTCGCAGTTTAAAGTTAAAAATACACAAATATGACATATTTTACATGAACTCTTTCATATCATGCTTTAGTGCACAATCACATCTTTTAATTTAACGCACCCTCGTACGCTCAGGATCCTGCGTTTTAAATTACAAGCCCTCAAACCCGGACCATGTCCAGACGAGCGAGGCACTCGGCTTCGACTTTTTCCCACATTTTGCCTTAAACTGGACAAAACCTTGACAAATGAGAAATACTTTGTATTTAGATCAAGTAAAGAGATGTCAAACATTACATTTACAAATTAAACTCGTGGAGTGGCTTCAGCGTTTAGTTGTAATTAACCAACTTTGTGGCGGTAGTAAGCACAACTGCGGACGAGCCTGTTTGTAACAGCGCTGCACTGATTTATCGTAATAGCAGTCTCTGACCTTTTTCCTCCGATGAGCTAACTTTACACAACGATCTTTTTAGTTGTTTAGCACAATGTGCATAGTTCAGAACTCTCTTAGCGATCTACTTCGGAAACTACTGTTGGTTCCGGAGCTTTATGTTGGAGACACTCGGTGTATGACTAGTCATACCGATGTGCTTGAACTCACATTGTGAGCTTTTTTGTGGCGCGGATACGCTCATTACACATTCATTTATGACAAGGTATTTCAGTTTCTGCACTTTCCTTTTTTTTCAATTTAGGAGTGAATTATTTAAAATTACATGTATTTCTCCAAGCAATAAATGTTAACAATAAACACACAAGTTATTTCTAAAGATTAAGGGATCTCTATTACATTATTCCTCATCAAAACATATCTGGAGTTGGGTTTCATTTCAGTCACTTATATAACAAGCATACCTACATTCAGCTGTTAAGAGTTTTAGGTTTGAGGGAAGAATGCCTAAACTCCTACCATACTATTTTACTAAATTGTGCTGTTTGAATCAAGAATATGTTATTTTTGATAATTACTCATCCATTTTCTTGAAGAGAAATGCAGAGGCAGTGGCCTAAGCTCATTGGTCAGGGAAAAATTCAGATTTTTTTTTTTCATTCATAGACAATGTAGGCCTGTGTTATTATTCAGTCCAGAAACTTTCATTACACTCAGTTTAATAATAATAAGCATACATCTATACATTTGTTGTTGTAGTAGTAGTTAGCAAATAATGACACTGACTTCAGGTTGGCACATTGAAAAATACAAAACAATTTAATATACAACTGTTTAAAACAATGGAGAATGTAAAAACACTGGCAGATTTCATGCAGAGACAGAGGTTGTGTCTGTTAAAAGTTTTTCAATGCTTGGAAATGAAATAAAGCGCTAAAACGGTTTATTCTCATCATAATCATACAATTCATTTACAGGCCGTCCAGCGTTTGAACTTAAAAAAATAAAGAAAAAAAGTCACATTTGTGCTGGTCCCACAGAGTAAAACTGAAATAAAAGATTTGAGGTGGTAGATTTAGGTAAAACCGAATAAAAGGGTTGTCTGTCCAAAGGGCTGTGAAGATGCTGCTGGTTGGTTTAAAAGTGCGTTGGTTGGAGGTCAGTGTTTGTTGTTGGGGTCTTCCTGGTTTGACGTCGAGAGGCCATTTTGTGTCTGACTGGTGCCCGATCCCAAACCGTACAATCTCCCACAATACTTGGCGTCATCAATGTTGTCCTCGAAGAAAAGCTGAACAGAGAAAATAAATGTCTCACCTGCTTGTTGTATTCATTTGAATTTAATTTAAAAGTTCTACGGTTACCCCAAACCCAGAGTTTTTACTAATGATGGTGAGTATAATATTTCAATAGCCAATGGGAAAGATATGAATAGTAATAGTCACAATACAAACTATTTTTGATGCTAAGGAACAGACTCAATACAGTTTCTGATACAATGACAAAAGAAAAAAAAAAAAATTATATATATATATATATATATATATATATATATATTTTTTTTTTTTTTGGATAGAATGTCCTTGCACATCTGAACCAGGCCGCAGCCTGATGACATCATCACATGTTTACATGTGCTAACGTTTTTGGCGGAGAAAATATCCATTTGCGGCAGAAATATCTATTTAATAGTCAGGCGGATGTGCATCCTGTTATGATACGTGGAAGTTTATGGATATAAAAAGGGCACGGAGCAGCAATGACAGCTAGTGACGAGAGGCAGCTAAACTTCTTCCTTATTGAAGGTAAGTGTGGATTCACTGTATGCTTTCAGAGCAGAGTTTATTCACTGTTAATTAACATCAGAGCACCTGACAGGGCTCTTATAGTAAAGTCGTGTGCGCGCATACTTGAGTGACCGCGCCGTGCTTTGGCCCACCTCCTCCAAATGGGCTGAAGTCCCAGCCATACCATGCCTGGGACCTCCTCCAAATGGGCTGAAGTCCCAGCCATACCATGCCTGGACACGGATTGGCTGCGCTCACTCACTTCTAAAATCTTAAGTTGTCCAGATAGGTTCCATAGTGGTGCATGGGCATATACTGGTTTATTGGTCTTATAGTTGTTCAAATACAGCTCAAGATCATTCTAAAGCTATTCAGGAAAAACTCATTTCTATCCTGCGAATGTGACTTTTCTTTTAGAATCGATATCTGATTAGCAGAATAGTATACAATAGGGCTCACACATTATATAATATCATAACAAAGGGCAAATACATAAATGGAGAAACAGAAGTCGTTTGGAACCATGTAGCTCTGCAGCACACACATTTCTAGTTTGTTTGTTTTTTCAGTTGCAGTTGTGTTGCTGTTACCTCTTTCATCCTGAAGAAGGCCATCCCTGTGAGCAGAGAGTCTGACCCGGCCTGGTGCTGTCGGCCAATCCTCTTTAGCTCCAGCTGATCTGCCACTTCCTGTAGCCCTCCCTGAAGACACCACACAGGCATATTATATCATGGACTGTTTTATGTATGACAGACTGCACATGTTTAAAAGGTGCACTATGTAACTTTTCGGTTGGGGATCCATCACCTTCTTGTTTCTATGGCTTTATCATTGCTCTGCTTTGAATGTTCCACAATATAACATTAAATAGATCTACCTTACTTGTATTCATTTACAGGTGGTTTTATAGCTCAAAAAAACAAAACAAAACTGGCATTCTGACTGTAAGCAGGGTCGCCTCTCCACAGATCTGACCTGTAACTTGGTCTGGTTTGGTCTCTGAAGATAGAAAGGTTTAATACCATACTGTGAAACATTCCAGGGAAAGCAATAACATCTCCATGAAGAAAAACATTTGACAGACCCACCTTTAAATGCTCTATATTATGCAAAATTGATTCTTGTGAGCTTTTAAAAAAATTTTTTAAACAAAACTATATAATCATGTTTTTGCACCTTGAGGTTCTTGCAGCTCTTCATGAGATATTTGACATCATAAATGGCAGGAAAAAACAGGTTTAAGATTTGGAAGAAGTCATGCTCCTCTTCGGGCAGTCGGGCATCTGTGAGCAGCTTCACCAGGTATCCGAAATCATAACCACTGCAACAAACAAAAGACAATTTTAACAAAAACACATCAAAACATAACTGAGGAATCTGTTTTTCCTCAGGTTAGTCAAATATATAAATGGCCTCAACATTAGGTAGACTGTAGGGGTGGGTGATATATCGATATTTTAAATATATCGAGATAGTTTTTAAACTCGCGTCTCCTTCACTCGTCACTATCGCCGTGAACGCCGAAAGTTGGTGCCAGTGAAAAGCTTCAAGCACCACGAACATTTTCCACCATTTACAGACAAAACCATCAGCAGCACATCCTCATATTCCACCGAGTCGCGTCCTTTGCCCGAAAGAAGCTAAACGAGCTGAGCTGCATGAGAAGTGCGCTGTTTATGCAAATGAGCCATGCGCTTAAGTTTCGTTTCTGTAAAATGTAAACACACGTGCGCAAAACTGCATTAAACACATTATTATCGCAAACGGGCTAATGTAGAGTCGTTATGCTTTATATATTGTAAAGTTTAGCAATGCAAAGTTTATTTATGCAGAAGATTTTAATTAATAATCTGCTGCAGTGTCACTTGTACAATAGTGTTTGGAAACGTTGGGTTTGGTCTGCAGTGGATTGTGGGAAACCTCAGAGCTCCTTACTGCTGGATAATAACATGGATCTATTGAAATAAGGAACATCCTGAGCTTCTTCTGCTAAATGAGCTCATGGTTATGGTTATGGTTTGGATAACAGAGTTAATGCAAAGATGAGTTTGTGTTGAGTTGGTTTATTTATGAATGAAAAGAAGGAAATATGTATTATTTCTTTTATTTTACAGTTAAATTATTATTTATGTAATTAGGGTTTTTGTAATCTTAAATGTTCCTATATGAACTGCCAACCTCTTACACTTCAATAAAAAAAAAAAGACCTTGTGGAATTTGGCAGATTGGTTTTTGCAAGTTTTCAGTTTTAGGGGGTTATTTTTTCTTGAACATATATCAAGATATATATCGTATATCGAGATATAGCAAAATATATCGAGATATATTTTTTGATCCATATCGCCCAGCCCTAGTAGATTGTATATTATGCAGTCATCCAGGAGATTTTTAGGTTGCAAGAATTGAGAAGCAATGTTGTTATTTTTTTTTTTTTTATTACTGATATTGTGAATCATTAACGATGAACTCCGTGACCTTGACATCTGTATCCTACCATCAGCAGCACTGACCTATGGAAGGAGAGCCACTTGACGTTTTCACACAGGACTAGCCCTGAGGTCATGAGCAGCTCGGCAAAGTACAGCGTGTCAATTCCCTCCTCCTCGTGTTTTTTGAACTGGAGACCAGAGTTTTGCAGCAGATCTATGGAGTCCTGGGAGTACATGTCTTCTCTATAACAACACAACAATATACACATCTATTAGGTTCATGCCATTACATACAAAAGAGCCTTTGGTTTAACTAGAGATGGAGAAGAGGTGTGCTAAATTTTTCCTATGGCTAAATGAGGATGTGTTATGGCTCAATATTTCACTGGACCTTTACAGAAAATGTTTTACTGTAGTGTCATAGCCCAAAAAAATTAGATGACATAATTAGCGTAAATCTCCATATTTAGTTTTGATCCAATATGCTGCGTACACACCAAGCCTAAGGTCTAATAAATCTGCATCAGCTGTGAAAACATAATGGACAGAACAGCATTTCCCAAAGTGTAATATAGGACCCTCTCCTTCATTGGGAATTTTAACATTTCTATGTCCAATTTATTGTTCAGCTTAGTTCACTTCTGATCACTTTGGATTCCTGATCTAATTGATTGGCTTCTGTTTTAATCCTGGTTTAATGATGGTTATTGCAGTAGTGTAGCGGGTCTCACGTGAGGTTGAATTTGAAGTTGAACTGCCAGGTGGTGGTGCCTGCTGGGTAGTCTCCGTCCTCGTTCATGAAGGTCAGTCCGAGCTGGATGATCTTGAGCAGGTCCACGTTGCAGCGCAGGAGCTGGTACTGATAGTCCACGGTGCTGCGAAACTCACCGATCGGCCGCACCACCACGCCAGGAAACTCTGTGTCCTGAAAAAGTACATAAGATACTGTGAACAAGTCATACTTTGCAGCTGATGTCGTCAGTATTCCCTGGGGGTGCAAACTGTAGGCTCTATTCTTTCTGTATCTCTGTTACTCAAATTAGACTTCAGATTATGGTCAGATTATGTTAAAACAAAAATCTGACTGACCAGTAAACCAGTAGTTTGTGGAGAAAATGACAGCGCTTTACCATTGCAATGTAGTTGTAGTTCTGAATTATGGCTCTGATCTTGCGCATCTCATCCTCCACGTTACTGGCCCAAACCTCGCAGATGATCTGGCTCGAGTCGGTGAGCGCCGCCGGCATTCTGATGTCACCTCAGAACACGACCGTCACCGTGGAAACCACCCTCCAATCAGAGAGTGCGAACAGGAACCCGTCCAGCACACCCAAATATTACCTATGAAGGAATAAACAGCGATATTAACTGGAAGCTATAAAGATTTCTCAGCTATGCTCTATCCACCACCAATGACATGCAAGCAACTAATGATTATTTTAGAAGTGTATTAGACGTTTAGCATTAGTATTTATTTATATTCCTCAATTCCTATGATATTTTTAGGAATTTGTCCAATTGTAATAATAACGCTGTATAATGAAAAAACGCATTCTTCATTAGATACGTCAGATCTTGTAGTGTTCTCTGCACTGCTATAAATTAGTGCATCACAGGGAGAATTGTATCTGTTATCGGACCTTGGCACTACTCTGTATAAACATTCAATTTGGGAGTAGCTCCCAGGGTACAATGCTCCCATTTATGTGCAGTCCCATTAAAACCACCAAAAAGGCAACTTTTTAACTCAAGAACCCTTATTTCATTCTCATTCACTTTTCATTTGCATATCAGAAGCCCAGAAAGTGACCAAGTCTTAATCAAGTTACTGTTTGAATACCGATCAGTACCTGCAATATCTAAAGTACAACAAACAGCAGAACGTTATTTTTCTGTGTTAAATATTGATACTTTCCCTGGGGTTTTAAAGTCAACTAAAAGCACTGCTCTGTATATTATTCAAATAAGACTTAATATGGGCTTTATTTTAACACAATGTGACTAAAACAAGATGACATGGTTGGAACAGGTGAGATGATTTGTGCTGTTAAACAAGACTCTCACACTTAAAATTACAGTCGTGTTTTTTTTTTTTTTTGTTGGAAAATCAAACTAAACTGGACCATGAATGTATTATTATTCTTTTTTAAATATTTTTTATCATGAGTTTTTAAACTATCTTTAAACCTTTTTTGTCTGCGTTTGCTAATGTGTATATTGCTTCACCATGGCAACAACTGAACATTTTGCCAATAGGGATACATGTAGAAACCCCCCAACATGATGTCACTGCAAAGTATCAATAGCAATTAACAAAGCCTTCTGGGGGAACTGAGAGAACCACTGCTCTGAAGCTTAACCCAAAAACAACAGTTATGTCAGAAAACTGATACAAAAACATGAATGAATACTCAACACCATATAAAATAGTTGCTCTGCTTGCCTCTATGACCCTGATATTCAAAGCCAATGGTGTAACTTTTGCTTGTAGCAAGTTTCAATGAAGAAAAAAAAAGTGAAAATTAAAACGCATGATGATTGTTATGAACAATAATGCTAACGAGGACCACAAACCCAGTTACACTTCAAGCGACATGGCTACGGGCAAATTACACCAGGACGCAACGGCGTAGTTGTGCTAAAATAGTCTATACACTGGCACAAATGATTATTGCGACTTTCATCCTAAAATACCCGAAATTTATTAACAAACCGCTGTTAGCATTAGCCGCTAACTGCTAACTACCTGCTAGCATTTCGAAAAAACGACAGCCAATTTCATGTCGAACGAGAGCAAAAACAAACGGGAATCATCGATAAAACTATGACATGCTTTGCTTTTGTTTGTCGATTAAAAAAATACAGAAATGTTGTGATAGTATACCAAATTTTCGCCGAACACCGTAAAACAAACGCGCCCCGGTGCTGATCTCACTTCTTCGTCCTTTTTTCGCTTGTTCCGTTTCCTCTTCGGACAAAGAAAAGACCGTTAAATGTGCACACTGCCATCTGCGGTGAAGAACAGCACAATAACGACAAAAAAAACGTAAAATGATGTGACGATTTACAAAACTAACTCACAAAATTAACATTAAAAGTCAGTACAATGTGAATAGGTTGTATAGTGTTTAACTGGCATTTATTATTATTATTATTATTATTATTATTATTATTATTATTATTATTATTATTCAACACTACTGTTTTGACCTACAGAACAGTGATTACGTGTGAATATATGCAAAATACTGTAATTTTATATTTTAGACCAATTTTAGACCTGGTTTAGTTTTACAATAATTAATCACTATAAATGCAAATGAAGAGTGGCTCGTTCAAAAAACAATTATTGCATGAAAGATGCACATAACAATATAATTTATTTTGTTAAGACACTTTTACAAGAACACCACTGACTGATACCATATGTTCTTCAATCATTCGAACAATTTAAGGTACAATTATAACAGAATACCCAAATTACCACATTTACAAGAAAAAAAATATAGGGAAAACATGAAGGTTATTAATATATTCAGTTTTTATAAATTATCTTTGGTCCTGAAAATTAATAAAAAATGTCAGAACAAAAAAAATTGTTGCTAGTTTTCCTTGGAATTGGTGTAAATGTAAAGTTATTTAAATATTGTCATTTATTTGCAAAACAAAAAATTGTCCATTTATTACACTTTGAGCCCCCTCTAGAGGCAATACTGTGCCAACCAAGCCTCTTCTCTTTTCCAGAAAATATTGTATTGCCATAAAATAGTACGTAGTAAGTACATTGGCAAGGGCTGAGAACTAAAGCACACAAATGAATGGTGTAATTTAAACTGAAAAAAATAATAAAAACATGTTAAACAAAAAACAACCAAAAAAAAAAGAATCCCAATAAAGGTTCACTTTTTACTGCAAGTGTTTACCCATTATTAACATGGCGAGGCAATAACATCTCCATAGATACAAACAGGTGGTGGACTGTCTACCAGTAAAGTTAGGCAGTGCACCTTTAGGAGAAGGAATCTTTTATTTAGTTGTCATAATCTTTCAATTGTTATGTGAATATTTTGCTTGTGAACTTTGCATGAACTTTTTCACCTGTGCCCTTTAGATACTCAGCCCCCAAACATTTGTTCCCATTTGCTAGACTTACAAACCGTTCCCTCTACATTCCTTTACACATAATGGTAAACTTAATAACACTGTTTAGAAGTCTCAGAAGGTTTTCCTGAGAATAGTGGGTTTTCCATTAAAAAGATGCCAAAGAAGCCATGATTATTTGTCAGCTCTTCTCTCAATGTGCGAAATCTCCAAAATTGGCATGAGGAGCTGGAAGGCGTCTTGGATGTACGACGCACTGTTAGAAGCCTGTAAAAATACACACAATAGGTTAATTAAAAGTTATATCCAAGGATTTCAGAGTGATGATACATTAGCAATCAGCATGCATAGCAACAAAAATCTAAAGTACTCAAAATGGCACCTACAAACAGAATATTGATGCCCATGATAATTTTGGAGATTTTCTTTACAGCTTTTGAGCACTCAAGTCTGTGTACGCTGTATAACTTAATATATTAATGAATAACTACGAATACTGTGCGTATCACCCATTAATAACATACAATTGGAGAATGAAGTAAGAAGAAGGCAGTGGGCGTATGCTGGTGGTGGTGAAAATCTGCAAAATGTCGTCTTGAAAATAAGCAATTGCTCAAACATGCACAAATCACTCTAAATACAATTTCAGGTGAGTAAATGGTGAGGGGAAACAACTATATAATGGTTAAAAGCTCTGAAAACTAGTTTTTGCTTAATAGTTTGCCTTTAAATGTTTATTACAGTTAGTAAATTATCATAATCCTTTAGTGTGCCTTTTTTTAACGTTAAAAGACACTTTTGAAATCAATTAACCAAATTTAGCCAAAATTGAGACAAACCTCGAGAAAAACTCCTGTTATCAGAGGATTGAGCACATCTCCTTTCTCGTTGTTCTGTGGACACAAAATAGATGTAAAAAAGTTATAATTTAAGCTTCAATTTCTATACACAACTTTAAACCTTTAAAAATACATATTGTGCTTTTTTCTGCTATATAGTTATAATATATAGGTATATATTTTGACCATTATAATTTGTATTATTGATTTAATTATTAAGTAACTACCACTGGGTTTCAGATGACTACACATTCTACAGGCCAATAATATTTAATACAGATGGGGCAACTACAATTAATATTCTAGTAATGTAGATTTGTGTTGTAATACACTAATAGCAATGATCAACATTTATGAATTTACCTTTAAAATATTTTATGGTAAAGTACAATGTGATCAATAGAGGAAACTTACCCCTGTCGTTGTTAGGCATGAGGTGAATTTCTTTGAAAGTAGAGAGATTTCTTTGCACAAAATGATGGTTAACCTGAAAAACAGAAAGTGTGAAAAACAAAAACAGTTTAAAAACTTTTGATAATTAAAGGTTCTTACTGTGAGAGAACTTGAGGCGTCACGTCTCCATTTGAAAACAGAATCATTTCGGCAAGTTTGTGGAAAAGTTCGATGGAGCGAGCTGTGAGTTCAGCTAGACTCCGGATGGCAGCAGCGTGGACCTCCTGAAAAAAAGCATTTGGTAAAATTAACTAATCACACAGAACTGAAGCAGAAGAAGCAATAACTATAAGTGTGCCATTTTCTGTATTGATACTTTAGAGTGACATCATGATGGGAGTGTTCTACGTGTATGTCTAATGTTGGAATATATAGGAGTTACCATGGTGACACAATGCAAACACAGCCAAAAAAGTTTTATGATTATCTGAAAAGTCAACAAAAAGCACAAAATGGAATTAAACAACATATTTTCAGGTGCCTGTTATCAGTTCAAGCTCTCATGTCATTTGATTTTCAACAAAAAAGGTGAGTGACTAACTGAAAAAAAACTATTGTCTAGCTTGTGAATGTAAATGCACGTGTAAGAGACTTGTTTAACCGCTGAAATCAGCAGTTGTAGTTCCAAATAAATCAAGTCTTTAAGGTCAGATTGTGTTAAAATAAAGCTCATATTAAAGCGTAATAAAGCCTTAGACAGAGCAGAATCTACAATTAGCGTGACACCCCCAGAGAATGTTGATGACATCAGCTGCAAATTATCAGTAATAATCTGACACATGGCTTTCAACGTCACAAAATCACTTTCACACACTCCACATTCAAGGGCGGGTGAAGTGTCTTGCCTAAGGACCCAAAAAAACGGGTGCACCGGTCGGGGCTAGGATTTAACCTTCCAGCTAAAAGATGATATTTTGAAAATCTTTACCTCGACAGACATAACTTTTGAATCTTCACCCTCTTCTTGTTGTACTTCTGGTGCATTGATGGAGGTGATTCGAGAACACGTGCTCTTACAGGCCTGGGTTAAGAAACAATAAAGTTAAAATAATTATATATATAATTGGAATTGTGTTTTGTTTCATTCAGACATGTTTAAGTCATCCTGCATTATTAGTCCATCTACATCTCCAAAGCTCAGGATGCTGTGTTCCACCGTGTGATATCATGTAATTGTAGTTAACAACTACCTTTTACCATTTGTTCCATAGAAATTGGCATTTCTAGGGGTGAAGTTATACAAATTATTCTAGTAAAGGTGTATCCAGTACTTCCTGTATTATCACATGGCATTCCAAGGTGGAACAGACTGTTTCAGAGAAGAACTCAGCCAAAATATGCAGGGTTTGTGTATTAAACATGAAAGAATGAAAGAAAACACAACTTCAGGTGGTTTTGGAAGAGGAAACAACATTTATAACATAGATCAGAACATAGTGTAATATGCAAAAGTCTGGACCAAATGTTTGTTTTGAATTCTCACCTTGGTGAGTTTGTCCGTTGTGGCAGAAATGCTGAGTCCTTCTAATGCTTTTGTCAACTCTTTCTCAAACTCTGAGCCGTCTTCATCTGAAAACATACATAAAAACACAATCTAGTCACGAGGTATTTATACAGATGCTGTAAGATACATTTTTAACAGTAGTCAAAAGAGTGAGGATGTCACGTTGTAATATTTGAACACATTGTCATGAAATTAAAATAATGATAATAATAATACAACTTGAATTACCCTTTATTTATTTATTTTTATTAGAGCTTTAAATCGTGTTATAGCTATTCCCCCTTCTCATTTACCCTCTGGAAGTTGTATTTGGAGTCATTTGCTTGTTTGAGTAATCTTTAATCACTTATTTTCAAGACGCCATATTACCTCCTTCCTGTGTTCACAGCTACCAGCATACGGCCACTGCTCTGTACTAACTTTGTTTTACAGTCTTATTTTCTCAATCAGTGATACGAGTAGCATTCAGCCAGATGAGTACGTAAATACACATCTTCACTTCAGACAGAGCGGAAAGGAAGCCACATAAGAAGTTTATTTAGACAGTGCCCCCGAGGCCCTGGGACAGGTGTCTGCGCAGATGTCTGTGTGTCTGTCTGCAGAGGGCGGCTTTCTGCGGCGTGTGCAATATGAGCCATTTACACAGCGGCCCCAACAAATCCGAAACACCGACTCTTTTCATCATCATTCTGGCGAAGTCGGCTCTCATTGGGCACCACATCTTTCTAAAGCAGTAGTCTGAGGACTATTTCTTTAAATTGTTTTAGATGATCATTAAAACATAATGATCCACGGGTGCTGTACATTTGAACTATATTCGCCCACTGATCTGAAGGTTGGAGGTTCGAAGCCAGCTCTTGACATAAAACATCACAGGTTGAGCGGTCAGATCCACTGACCCACAGGTTGGCTGGTGTGATTCCAGCTCCCACAGATGAATGCTGAATGCTTAACCTACCTTGCCCCTAGTGTCTGCGTACACTGGTGTGTGAATGTGTGCATGAATGGGTGAGTGGTTCCTTGTTGTAAAGCGCTTTGAGTGCCTTGAAGGTGGAAAAGCGCTATAGAAAAATGTGACCATTTACCATTTATATAGCAGGCTCAAGCACAATATGTGATCTTTAAGACACTGAAATGATCACAATTTATTACATTGTTTGTTTCACCTGTTTTCTCCTCATCGTCATCATCATCAAACTCCACCAGAGAAAACGCCTCTTTGATTTCCTCCAGCTCTTTTCTCAAATCCATCAGTTCATCTCCGGACAGAGTCGTCAACACAGACTTCACCTAAACACATCAAAATATTTTTTTTTAAATTATAAAGGAAAGAAGGAAATAATGAGACACTTTCCCATTAGAGGGACAGTAAATGTAACGTTCTGGACATAATTATTGAACTGATAGTTTAAAGGTAGTATTATCTTTTTGTTGTTTTAGCTGTATTAACTTTTAGCTGTTTAAAACATTCAAACCACAGTAACAACCTATTGACCTATTTTGTCACCAATGAAAACACCAGAGCAGAGTAAGAGTAAGGCCTTTCCTGTTGTGTTCACTTTCCCCTGGAGGCTGTTGTGATGCTGCAGAACAAAGAGGAGGGGCACTTTTGGCTCTTCTGTTAAACTGCACTGAGACCTTTGTCTCTGTCTCTCTCTCTGTGTCTCTGTCTGTGTCTCTGTCTCTCTCTCTCTCTCTGTCTCTCTCTCTCTCTCTGTGTCTCTCTCTCTCTCTCTCTCTCTCTCTCTGTCTCTCTGTCTCTCTGTCTCTCTGTCTCTCTCTCTCTGGAGCAGGACCATGCCTCAACCTCCTCCACCTCTACATCATCATATCATTATATCATTAATCAATAAATATTTTCATCGCATTTATTGTTGACATAGGTCTTGCTAATGAAATTAAGAATAGTATTAAAAGGAAACATAAACTACTAGAAAAAATATATGTTTTAAGCATAAAAACTACTTGAACTCACAGTACTTCATAGATGACCATTACGTAACAACTTCTATCAAATTAAACTTAAGTTCAGTCTGACCTTGTCATATATTTATATTAAGGTTTATTACTTTGGGAATGAAGAAAAATTATAGCTAATTATATTCTTACAATTAGTGTATTTTGACATTTGTAAAATTTATTTCAGAAATGATTGACCCTGGCATCTCTCGTTCAGACTGAAATGGTTTGGACATGTGCAGATGAAGGGTTGTGAAAATATGGGCAGAAAGATGCAAAGGTTGCCAAGAAAGAGGAGATTATTGAATGTTGTGAAAGAGGACATAAAGAAGCTGTGAGTGAGAGCAGAGGACGCTAGGAGAGGGTCAGATGAATCTTGAAATTGCACCTTGGATTCACTCTCTCTGGACACGATCTCGAGCGCCTCCAGGTGGGACAGACCCTGGTATTCGTCAAACAGCATCCCATAATGAGCAACTGGTTTCCGGTCTGTGTCGCACTCTGTGTCTGCGGTCTGGAGCTCCTCACGCTCTTTTGCCTCTCTCAAAACCTGAGCAACAACAAACAATATGAGGTGCTGAAAATGTAAATGAGCAATCTAAATTATCAGTAAATTGCAAAATGAAAAAGAACATAATCTAAGAAGAAACGTGTAGGAAATCTCAAAGTGCACAAACAGCCATATTAGCATAAAACGGTGAAATTCTGAATCTATTTTCAAGACAATTTTAACATTTTAGATTTGTATTTAATAATAACTATTTCAATTTATCTAGCTACGCTCTTTGTTGGACACACAAAAATGGTTGGCATTACATTATCCATTCACTCCACATTTAAGATAAGCATAAGGTAAGTTACAGTTGCGGAAGACTGAGGCAGCCAATATGTGCCAACCCCTCACCACCACCCCATTCATATCACATTCATACACACAATAGGCAAACCAGTAAACCGCTAAACCACTACTGTCCTTAATATTTGTAGGTGATATCAAAGATGTCCAGATTTAACTACCAATTCCTTTTCTGTCTCCATCTGTGCCTCATCACAATACTGGACTGGTAGATATTGGCAGGAAGGGCATCTGGTGTAATGTACCTGGGAGAGGGTGGCATTCCTGTGCATCAGTCCTTTCGTCTTCTTGAATCCTGGGTCTCCTTCGGCAATCACATCCATCGTCTTTTTACCGATGAACTCCAGAGCGTCCAAACCTCCTGTGATTACCGTTTTACCCTGAACAGAATTTAAGCCAAAACACACATTTAGACATTTGTCAGACAAGCTTTAAAACACTATATATAAGCACAATCTAAAGTATACTTCATTTTTTTATATTTAGATTAGAAATTCACCAATATTGATTTCTTGGCTATGAGTTGTGCAATAAAGTCTACCGTAACCTCAAGCTTAGCCATGTTGTTTTATTACCATCTTTGAATAATATGTGAAAAAAATAAATGGTTAATTGATAATTGTGTGTTATTCAGATCGTAATATAAAATTATTTCTGTAAAGCTTGAAATCATAACAGCAGACGCTCATAGGGCTTAGCAAGATTGTTGGAAGTTAGAAAATCAAATGGTAAAATAGTCAGAGAAGCAGAAAAGAGGCAAAAGCCCCCGAAGCTACATTCAAAGAAGCTAAATTCTATTCTGAAAGAAAAATCTAATTCTGTGACATTCCTAGAATCATAGTCATGTTGTAAATGCTGCTTACAGTTGTCTGTACGACGCTGCTAAGAGAAGACAGCATTCCCATGGCTCCTGACACCGGAGATGAGGCTTCTCCAGAGGCTGTGTCAGGTTCAGCGCTGGATTCTCCTGGACAGAAAAAAACAAAGAGTTATTGTGAGATGTCACTGCAAAGTATCAATATAATAACTAAAAATACAATAGAATTTACCCTGTTGTTTCTGCTCCTCCTCGACTTTTGCAGATAGTTCAGTTGGACTGGGAATTCCCAAAGATGTCTCAGCCTTCTCAATCACCTGAGTGAGGCCTTGACCTAAAGGAAAATACTTTTTACGTGAGTTTATAACATAGAAAAAGCACTGAAACATCTGTCTACTCTGGACTGATGCTGATGTTCAACTGACCGACTGTTGCGACTGTCGCCGTTGCCGTGGACAGGATAGACTTGCCCCAGTTGCCCCAGTAACCCCATCCTCCCTGAGCAACAGTCGACTCACTTGGACTCTAGAGACAAACATGAATCAATCATAAAAAATAAAAAAAAATCTGACATAAAATCATCATCAACGATAACATGTAGTAATATATTTCTTTACAATTTTAAATAAATGAAATATATTAATACAACTTTTAAATCCAAGCAATGTTATGTATACAGGAACATATACTTACTTAGCTTAAACTAAAAATAAAAGAAATATTAAATTTCAGTCTGATTTATTATTTAATACAGGTCTGCCTGAGGACATGTGGAGGACTATAAAGGACATTAATTTTCACTAATGTCAGTGTCTACATGATAACAATATTTATTGCAACATTGTGGTTCCATCTATTTTTTTTTACCATTCTAGTTCAGCACATCATTTGAGGTACTGTAGGTATCAAAGCCTGAAATGCAACATACTGTAATTGATCCTTTCAGCTGATGTAATCGGCCTTCTCTCAGGGTGTGGAGCTAACTGAAAGCACTACTCTGTTAGAAGCTCTGTTACACAAGTTAGACTTATTTTAACACAATTTGACCAGAAAGCGCTGACTTAGTTAAAACTACAACAGGTGAGCTGCTTTGATGTTAACATGATGATTACAGTTAAAAGATAGTTAGTTTGTCAGTTATCAGTTAGTCACTCTCACATTTTCACTGAAAATCAAACCTAAACAAGACTGATATTGATCACAGGCAAGTTTAAATCCACTTTTCCTTGACTTTCCAGTTTATATTAAAGTGCTTGTGGCAGTTTTTGCTCATGTGTGCATTGTGTCACCATGGTAACTGGTGAACATTCTGCCAATAGAGATGCATGTAAAACACCCTCAGCATGATGTCACTGCAAAGTATCAATAGTTCTCTGTATTGTTGTGTCAGCATTGCATCCCTACTGTCTATACTAGTACTTGTGTTGTGTACCTTGGTTGGTTGCTGTGGTTCCTCTTTGTGCATTTCCTCTGTTTTCTCAGAGGGTGGAGTGGGGGCTTTGGGCTCCGGTCTCCTCCTCACCCTCCTCGTTGGTGCTACATCTGTGGAGATGTTATTGGAGCTGTCAGGTGTGTGCGCAGGTGAGCTCGGTGCAGGTGAGGTTGGCTGGGACCCTTCATCTAAAGCCTCCTGATCTTCCACCGCCTCAAAAAAAGTCTCTGCCTCTGTGCTCTCGTTGACTGACATCTCTTCTCAGTTATCTCCTCTGGACATAACTGCAGGAAAAATATATGACTGGATTATAAAAGAAAAAGCATGTTACAAAAGTAAATGTCAAATGTATTCCATTTGCACTAGTGGATTTGGACATCCTGATAAACCAAATATTGCAGTTTTTTTATTTTTTATTTTTTTATTTTTTTATTTTGGCGGGAAATCCTTCAAATCAGGAAGAAAAGAATTCAGCTCAAGAGTGCTGAATACTTAATTTTGATGACTCTTTATACATACAAACTAAATATTTAAGTATGTAATTCAGCTATTTATGTATTTTCTTGTTGTGTTTTTAAACATATTACACATTTAAAATAGTTTTTTTTAGAATAATTCTGCTATAGGGTTATTGTTTCAGTGTCATAATTTTGTTTAAATATTAGCGTTTATCATCTATATTTTCTTCAGCACCATAGCACACCTCAAAATGTGCGAAAGGTCAACATAACATAACATTGTTCCAAGTCCAGACCAGTGTTTTCCAAATATTTATACTGATTATTTAGTGGCACTGCGATTCATATCAGAATTATTTTATTCAATACTACAAATGACATGATGCATAAATGATACGTATTGTTCTATTAATCAAAAAGCAGTATTTGCAGATTAAATACAGTTATTTATTCATATGTATGACAATACTGCACAAGCATGGAGTGCCTAGACTATGGGGGCACAATATATCATGATGGTTTTCCCTAATAACAAGTATAACAAGCAACGCAACATAAGAGTTACTAAAACGAAAATAAACCACAGAATATCAACTCGAATTTATTTTAGGAAGATAATGTGCCATGTTATCTCCCACAGGGTCAATGTCTTGGCACCTTCATGATGTATTACATAACACAGCTGCTATTAATGTGCACCATATTTGTATTATCACAAATAGCCCACCCCCACATTGTCTTAACTATGTCTCTTGGTTTTAAAGTCACTGTATGCGATATAAATCATCACATACTCACTGTGATTGGAGTGAACTCTAAAATACAGAGAATTCTTATTGAAACTTACCAAAGCTGCTTGTAGCTTCTGGGTGCTAAGTGTCCACAGAGGGGGACCGTAAAAACGTTTTAAGACTGAAAGTTTAAAACGTAACCTTTGGAATGATAATTTAAGAAATTATTTCAGACATTGCAAAATAATCTGTGCAATAAACTGTGAAATTTAGGCAGACTTTTTTCGTTGCTGGATTAGCCCTTTGGCCACGTCACTTTGTTTACGACTGCTGCGTATAACGACGTCCGGTTACTGTTCTTTCAAAACAAGAGACTGCTTGCAAAATACCAATTTTTAAGTTAAATACGAATCTAAATTTAGACCTTTGGAGTGCCGATCATGATACAAAACATTGTAAACATATTGTTTTGTGTTTTATTAATTTGTGTGTTCATTCAAATATCTATTTTCTGACGTTTTTTTCTAAAATGCGTTTAGTTTTATGTTGAAGCTAGTTCAAACGATGCACATGTCTATTATTTATTTATTTATTTATTTTTTTTTTTTAGCTTGTTGCTGCTCATTAGATATTTCATCATATTCACGTTACTTTCCTTAAGTACATTTCTGTCATGAGAAGCTCACATAAGTACATTTGTAGTTGTAGTTTCACTGTCTTAATTGACACATACGTTTTATGAATTTGAATACATAGCTGACTGTGTTTAAATCTTCTGGAAATTTTAACTAAACCCTTTTTACTGCTAATGTGGAGTAGCCTGATTACTTGTTAGTGTTTCTTTTCATATCTGATCACGCCCTAAATCAGTTACTTATTCATAAACATATAACACATTATAATTAAATTGTGCTATACTGCTCGAGCCTGTTCATTCAAAGACAGGTGTAGCTCCGCCCCCAGTGCACCTGAGCCAGGAAGTGCAGCACTGATCCTGTTTGGTTTCTGTGGATATTCAGAGCAAAGGTTGCCACTGTACTGAGGAAATTAAATTAACAGATTGAACTATTGGACAAGTTCTGAACACAGGTAATCCAATCAAGTTACTTTTTATCATCTGGCTACTATCTACGTACTATGTTTCAGTAGCTGTGTATCAGTGTTTGTTTATTCTAAAAGACTCGAGTGAGTTGTGTGAAGCCAGGGCAGCTTGTTTTCAAACCAGTCTAGCCACATTTTACAGTAGTACTAACACTTAAAACAATAACTTTTCCAACATTTTTGTACTAATTTGTCTATATAGAGAAAGTGCACTGTAAAATATCTTGAGTAAACTAAATTTTTTAAATATTGACATAAAAAGTAGGGCTAAACATAATTTCTATTTGAATGCTCCCATTTACAAGAAATTCACAAACGCTGTAGTTAAAATATTCTATTGTTGTCTACAAAGAAATAAGTATCACAGTCTTCCACGTATTTTTAGTATTTGGTACAAACATGTTCTGAAATGATCCTTGTTCAGCACTTCATATTTTAGTCTTTCTCTCAAACGTTGATCTTCCTGGACAGGTTTAAAAGCTGAGCTGAATATGTATTTGACCCAAATTTTGCAAATGGAATCTTATTATGTGTTATGTGTCTTTAAATTTAGCTTTTCTCCCTGGAGATATTGCTTTGCCTAGAATGTTCCAAAATATGGCATTAATCCTTTCTGACTCAAAGAAGCAAAACAGCTAAAGCCATCAAGTTACATCAGATATATGAAGTAAGAATGCACATTTTTCAAGGTATTTTTGATCTTTAAAAACACCTGTAGCTTGATTAATGCCATTCTGTGGAACATTCCAAGCAAAGCAATTACATCTTCATGGAGATGTGTATGTGTCGGACTGCCCTTCAGAAAAGTTACATAATGCACCATTAAAGACTTTCTAAATCCAAATGCACAACCAGCATGGAAAAGCATGATAATGATATTGATGATGTTCAATCTGACAAGTTGGAACAGAATTTTGAGCTTTAGAGATGTAGACAGACTAATAATAAAGGATTAATCAAACATGTGTGAACGAAACAAAACACAAGCCCAGGTATGTTTATGTAACACAATTCTAACAGGGCTTAAAGTCCACAAGAATCATTTATGTGTAATATAATTGTATTGTTTTCTGTGCCACAGGTCTGCCATGTTTGGTCCTCGTTTGCATGTGCTGGTTGTTCTTCATGTTTTCATCAATGGGAACTGGGCACTGTTTCAAAACATTTCCAAGTACAAGAGCAGTTTGTTGAAGCAGGACATCTTGGCCCTAGAGGGCACTAGTGTCCTCATTCAGTGCAACATCTCCGGAGACAACATTCAGTGGTTTACTCCAAAGGGGGATCTACTGGCGTTTGACCAAGGTAAGCTCCATCGGCTCTGGCTCCAACTCACTTTGTATTGAAAAAAAACAAAAAAACAAAACACATTTCCCTCTCTCTCTGTAACTGCTGCTGTTAGACTCGGCATTTTGGTTGTAATTATTTAACCATTTTGCCCGTAAATCAATATGAACTGAAATAACAGACTAACCAGGTGTCTTCTTTCTCTGAGGACGCTCCTACTTGTGTTGGCAACAGGTTTGATTGCTACGTGCCCATTACCTTCAACAGCCTTGCTCTGGATTGTTATCGCTCTTTGGTTGTTATGATACTCATGGTCAAAATTGCAAATATGGAACTCAGCTCCAAATTGTCCTCTCTAATCGCTACCCGTGATGAGCTTCATTTGACTGGAGCTGAATGCTATGAGTGACGTCACACTCCCTAAGTCCAGTTCTTTATACAGTCTATGGTCAGTGGCATGAATCATGGTATGACAATATTACCAAAGTCACAGATTTCACAAGGATCAGATAATATTCATATTTTATCATACAGACTTCTGAGTATAACCTTTTTGTTATATTTGTTATATTGACTAGTTCTTGTTTTTTGTTTTTTTGGGGTTTTTTTTAGATGGAAAGTGGCAGATTGAGGAGAGCGGAGCCTTAAACATCACCTCTGTCTCTTTCTTGGATCGTGGGCACTACACCTGCTCTTCTGACTCCTCAAACTTCACTGTCACTCTTCGCGTCGCTTACACTGACAGCGGTCTGGGCCTGTACTACGTGACTGTTTGCCTGGTCACCTTCACCATAACCATGATCCTGAACTTCGCTCGCCTCTGTATGATGAGTAGCCATTTAAAGAAAACCGAACGCGTTATCAATGAGTTTTTCCGAACGGAAGGGGCAGAAAAGCTACAGAAGGCGTTCGAAGTGGCCAAAAGGATTCCCATTATAACATCAGAAAAGACACTGGAGTTAGCTAAAGTGACACAGTTTAAGACTATGGAGATTGCTAGGCATATTGAAGATTTGGCCAAAAGTGTGCCATTACCGCCTCTGATTTTAAACTGTGGGTCGATTGGAGAGGAGGCTGCAGTAGACAGTCCACAGATGGAGAAAAATGAAGACTTGTGTGAAAGAGAGAGTCTGCTGGTCCAAGCAGAGAGAGGAGAAGGTAATGCAGTGATTTCAGTACATGCACTATTAGAAGAACATGTGGACAAAGTAAAGTAGGATTTAAAGAAGACCTATTGTGCTTCTGTCTTACTTATAATCTATGACACCCGTGGATCATTATGCTATTTTTGCACATTTTAAGTCACATTATTAATCTCAAACGAGTTCCAAAAAAAGAAAAGAAAAAAAAAAAGTTAGTGCCCAATGGGAGCTGACATCGGCATAAACAACATCACAGCTAAGTATCGGTCTCTCCTATGGATAGTTGGAGATCACACATTTCCATTTGTACCAAAGTGCTGCAGAATTCTATGGCTATCAATGATTAAGTGGAAAATGAAGTACAGATCAGTGAGCATATGCTGGTGGCAGAGACAACGTCAAAATGACGTCTTGAAAATAAGTGATTAAAGATTGCTCAAACATGCACAAATCATTCCAAATACAACTTCAGGTGAGTAAATGGTGAGGGAAAACAACTATAACAGTTCTAAAAAGTTGATTTTGCATGATAGGTGTGTTTTAAAATACATCCATGAACTTAATCTGTGATAGGATGTGCTGTTGTTTTGACAGGGAAAGTGCCACATATAGGGCTGACTGATTATTTTGATTTAAGATCACTTTCCTTGATCACTGTATCCACTTATTGTTCAATATGTGAAAGCTGGAACAATATTTTTTGGGGTGAATATTTATCGTGGGTACTTTTTGGTTATTATTTGGCAATATTTTAATTGTAATTGTAATTCTTTATATGTAGGGTTAGACCAGGGCTCCCTGCAGCACTTACAACACATCCAGAACGCTGCAGCTCATCTGCTGACAAATACTAATAAACATGAACACATCACACCTGTTCTGTGTGACCTGCACTGGCTCCCTATCTTATATCGGGTGCAATTTAAAATGTTATTAATTGTTTTCAAATGTTTGCACTCTATGGGTCCAGTCTATTTGAGTGAGTTACTACAGCCGTATACTCCGCCCAGAGCCCTGAGATCAGCCGACCAGCTCCTGTTGGTCGTGCCCAAAACTAGGCTCAAGACAAGAGGTGACAGAGCTTTTTCTGTGGCAGTGTCCAGACTGTGGAACAACCTTCCTCTTCCTGTCAGATCCTCTCAATCTGTAACACAGTTTAAGACGAGACTGAAAACTCACCTCTTCTCCCTGGCATTTAGTACTAGCTAGTCAGGTTATCTTGGTGGTTTTATTGTGGCTTTCACATGTTTTCTGTATATATGTATTTGTAACTGTTACTTCTGTTTTGTTCAGTTTTATGTGAAGCACTTTGGTCAGCTGAAGTTGTTTTAAATGTGCTATATAAATAAAATTGAATTGAAAATTGAATTGAATATGATAAGATTTAAGCCATAAAAGGTTCAAATAATACCCCATTGCACATGCAAACTAAGTACTGAAGTGTGTCAATCTGTTGTTTATTTATTATAACTCATGTTTTTTTGTCTGTTTGTTTGTTTTTTTTCTTCCCACCGGCAATGGATTTAGGCCTGTCACGATAATTACTATATTGACTTATAATTCAATGTATGAAACCTGTATCAATATATATTTTTTTGTCATTTTAGTTGCAATATAAGATTTGAGCTTTAGAGGGGTGAATAAATAACATCTGTGGCTAATCATTGCTTCATTCAGCTGTTTATCTGTTGCAGCTCAGGCCTTTTTAAATGTTACTGTCTGTTAAAAAATGGTTTACTGGTATTATTTTGGTGGTATGGATGGGTGGATTTTACTTTTTTGTTATTGTGTCAGTGCCATAAGTAGTTTCTCTATTATTGTTTATCATTATATTACAGAACCTTTGACTGGGACTATAACCTTTGTCTGAATATGTGTAGGTCAGGGGTCTCCAACCTGTAGCTCGGGAGTTACCAGTAGCTCTCCACCCTCTTCCAGATAGCTTGCCAAAGGAGTTCTGAATGTGTATTGTGTTCAGTAACTTAAATTTGTTGAACTACCATTGTAAATGTATATTTCTGATGCCTAACTTTGTGCACTAATAATGCATGGATTTTGGTTTTATAGGTATCTAATTGTTCCTCATCTAAGGCTAAATGTCTTGTGACCACTAAAATCAGTAGCTCTTTGGCATTTTCTTTTTGTAAAGGTAACAGAAAAAGGTTGAAGACCCCCTGCTGTAGGTTATATTGTTATTATATTGTTTCTTTACTTTCAAGCAAACTAACTGTCTGACTCAGCTTGTGTGTTATGTGTTTGTTCTCCTTTCTTTTCCCGTGTTGTGTTTTCTTCATAATCATTTTTTGACACTGCAATTGTTCCCTTTTCTTTATTTTGACACTTTAGCTTGAACTGAACAAATAGCTTTTTTTCTTCATTGTGTAACTGCCAGTCGCACCCAGCATTAAACCAGGAATGAGTCAACAACATGTCAATCTGTGAATATAATTACTACAATAAGGAGAAAATAACTGTTATAATGAGCAACAAAATGTGTTTACAAACATAGACATAACTTTTAGTTAAAAAAAATAAATAATGCAAATAAATACTTTTCTTTCTGACAGTAACATCTATTTGTTCTGGTAAATGAGGTATGGTAAATAATCTATGTATTTAGGATATACATCACCAGCTTTTGATAGATACACAAATACAAATACGAATACAAATACAAATTACAAGATAGACTTATAAAATGTCCTAATGTTTGTTGGTTCTATCTATATTTACTGAATATTCAATCTTTATGTTCAAGTAACAACACTTTACAGTAATTGTAAAAAGAACTCATGCTGTGCTGGTATCCACCACAGGGAGTCGCTGTTGTATTAGAAACCAGGCAACGTGCTTTATTTATTTATTTATTTATTCATTTATTTATTTATTTTTAAAAACACTCATCTGCTGCATTTGGATACACATGTCATTAATCTGTTAAATGTAAGTTGTTTTTTGTTTGTCACGTTTTTTAATTATGTTTTTTTTTTTTTTTTTTCCCCCCTCTTTATGCATAACCATTAATTAATTAATCAATAAAAAATAAAAAAGGCCTACACATAAATAAAACAAAATAAAAATCATGCACATCAGTAACTCATGAGAAGTTGTCCAGCTTCTTCATGGTTCACTGGTCTATGGCACTATGGCACTTCATTGTTTTTGCTGTGTCCATTGGCAAAACACCATCTTATATAGAAATGAATGTGACTGATGAAAAAAATATAAAAATAAAAAATAACTGTGATGCCAGTGGCTTACACTGGGCCCATGTTGGGATATTTTCTGATCTATGTTATAATCAGTGTTGGGAGTCACGCGTTATAAAAGTAACGAATTACAGTAATGCATTACTTTTTGCTGTAAAGCAGAAATGTAAGGCATTACAGGGGAAATTTTTTATTTTTTATTTTACTCGGTACAAATGTGAGTAACGCGCGTTACAATGTTTTTTTTTTTTTTAACCTGGATTGAAGTGGTGGGTTTTTCTTCATGCAAATTCGCTAAAATCACCTCGATATCAGCAGCAGTGAAACGCCGGAGATGCGCCCTCGTAGACCTTCAGGTAACTGCGGGCGAAAGGACTGACAAAGAACTCCTCGCTGTTTAGACCTGGTTTAGACCTGGTTTACACTCGTCCCTTCCTCTATCGCAGTTCACGTTTCGCGGTCTCGCTGTTTCGCAGATTTTTATTTTTTTTTTATTTATTTTTTTTTTTTTTGTGCAATTTTGCATGCCTTTTTTGTGACATTGTATGAATGCGTATTGCGTTCCTCCCGCTGCGTCCTGACTGGCCAAGGGACTCCTGTCTCCTGTACAGTACAGTACAGAATGTGTTCAGCTGCCAAATTTAAATACATGTTCAATCTGTAGCAGTGTGATTCTGAAGTGCTGTACGGTTGCAAGTTTTCTCCCCGACGAAACCCACAACGTCGACGAAACGTTGTGCACCGACAAAGGCTCCTGCGCTCGCACTCAAAAGGCAGAGGAAGATGCAACCATCACACAAAAGTTGGACTTCTGGACACGCTGAAGGAAGGTAGAAGTTACGCGCTGTAACAGACTCTTGCACCGGCTCGGGTACCTGCAAATAGTTGCTGAAATCAGGGCCGTGAGCCCGAGCAGCAGGGTGTCCATAAAGAGCGATCGGGTGACAGCCGCTCTTACCTCCGTGAGGTGCGGAGCAGAGCCGCTCCTTTCTCCTGCGGTCACCTTCGAGCCCGTCCCTACAGTGAGTCCTGTTTTAGTCCTAGTTCAGTTCTGGTTTAGTCCTAGTTCAGTTCTGGTTTAGTCCTGGTTCAGCTCTGGTTTAGTCCTGGTTTAGTCCTGGTTCAGTCCATATACAGTGCAAAAGTTATTTTGGTGAGAGTAACTTAAAGTAATGCAATAGTAATGTAATGCCTTACATTTTAAATGCAGTAATATTGTAATGTAATGAATTACTTTGAAATGACAGTAATAGGTAATAAATAACGCATTACAGTTTCAAAGTAACTTGCCCAACAGTGGTTATAATGTTTCCTCATCAAAAACAGACCTGGAGTTGTGTTTTGTTTTATTCACACATGTTTAACACACAAATCCTGCAGATTTAGACTGAGTTCTCTCAAACAGTAATCACTCTTTCCCACTTTGTGATGTCATGTGGCAATACAGGAAGTGTTCCGTTGTGTTATTAAACTCCATACACCTTCACTAGAATCATTTGTATGATTTTGGTCCTGGAATTTCCAATCTCTACTGAATAAAAGGTAAAAAAGTAGCTGTTAATTTGAAACCTACCACTACATGACATCGTAAGGTGGAACAGAGAATTTTGAGCTCTGAAGTTGTAGACAGAACGGAGTCTCCTCTCCACAGATCTGACCTTTAACTTGGTCTGGTTTGGTCTCCATGATGATAGAAAGGTTTAACACTATTGTGAAACATCAGAGACAAAACAATAACATCTCCATGGAGGAAAGCATTTCACAGACCCGCTACCAGAAAAGTTACTCAATGCACCTTTAAATGTCTGCAGAAGATGAACGATCGCAAGCCCCACTCAATCAATTGAGTCAAGCAGTGCCCCCTGAGTACAGCCACTACTCCTTAAACAGGTCTTCACACTTGAAACAGGCACCAAGGCTAAAGGTGTTTTCTGAAGATTTTGTTATTTTTAAATCTGAATAGCTCTGGAAGGACAGACGGACATTAGCTTGGTACACTGAATATAAAAACAGCAGCTGAAATCTCAAGGGCGAAATCTGTTCTGTGTTACTGTTGAGTTTACGGTCAAAAGTTCACAAGTTATATAAGAAATAAAATAAAAAAAAATAAATATAAAATATATATATATATATATATATATATATATATATATATATATATATATATAATATATATATACATATATCATTGTATAAAAATATTGCAGATTTATTGTGTGCTGTCCTATTTATATGTAAATAAATAAAAATAAAATCATATTTACAGTGCACTGCTGCTGTGTCCTTGGATAAGACACTTTGCTTTATGTGGTGGTCGCACAGACTGGCAAGTTCATCTTACTACTACACTGAGTGGGGAGTGAACATAAGGTCGAGTGCAAAAATGAAGTAGAAAAAGCAAGTATAAAAAAGAAAAAAATAAATATATGCAGTGTTTCACATTAATACAGCCACCACTCATAGTCTAAAATAGTCTAAAAACAACCTGAACTATACTTGTTTATTGTACTGTCATGAACAAAAAAAGTTCAGCAGAGATTGGCAATCCCAGGTCTGAAATTATTCAAATGATTCTTCTGAAGGTGTGTTTAGTTTAAAATACAGTGAAGCACTCCCTGTATTGCCACATGACATCACATCACATCATCATTGAGAGAAGAACTCTGCAGGATGTGTGTTTAAAGATGTGTGAATGAAACAAAACACATCTCCAGGCCTGTTTGTGATGAGGAAACCTTATAACATAGATCAGAAAATAGCGTAATATGGGCTCTTAAAATTTAAGCATTAAGTGACATTTATAATCCACAAATTGAATGAGATGAAATTATTTAAACATAATAAGTTGTGCTACCATAATTTTAAGAATCAATGAGAAACACGGGTATGGTATGAATATTTCTTTTAGATTTTAAAATTATGTCCATTCAGTATTAAAAAATGAAATAAAAAAAAAAGATTACTTGATTTATGTATAAAAGGTAAATAGCGTGCAAGCGTCAAGGCAAAACTTTACCTCAAGGATACACAGACACAGGGGCAAGGCTCGTTAAGTGTTTTGCCCAAGGACACGACAACAGTATTCATCGTGGGAGCTGCTTGGAATTACACTGCCAACCTGTGGGTCAGTGGATTTATCACTCACTAGCAGTGTTTTTATGCCAAGACATTCAACCCACCAACCAATCAAAGGACGTGGCCACCCAGTATTCATTTAATCATCATTTCTTCTTTAGTATTATATTAAAATTCCATCTTTGTGTGTTTTTCTAAATAAGTAATTACCTCTGAACTATACAAAATTGCCCTGTGTAAGTTTTAAGCCATGTTATAATGTTTTTTATTCATCAAAAACATACCTGGAGTTGTGTCTTGCTTCATTTACACATGTTTGAGGAAGATTTTGTTATTAGTCTGGATACATCTGAGAAGCTCAAAATGCTCTATGCCATTTTGGGGAACAGAATGTTGTTTTTTTTGTTTGAGAGAAGAACTCAGCCTAAATATGCAGGATTTGTGTGTTATTTGTGAATGAAACAAAACACAACTTCAGGTCTGTTTGTGATGAGGAAACAACATTATAACAGAAATCTGAGAATAGTGCAATATAGGCCCTTTAATCAGTATTTCAGACACGGCTTTACAGTATCTAGCACAGCTTTCCTCACACCCAAATGAGCACTGCCCAAGAGTATTCTAATGCGCATCCATCACTATTATTAGACTTTATTAAATCTCCTCTTCGGGTTCATGAGGCTTATTATGTTTTGTTTATGGGGCTGTAAATTAGAGCTTGTTGAACATAAAATTCCTCATAAAACAAGGTCAGTATTAAACATTTTCTAATTTCCTTCGTTTAATATCCCAAAATCAGGATAAAGTGTGGTGACAAGATGGATTAATGGTTCGGAGAAGTGGCTCTGAGTTCTTTTGGCTGCGTCTCAAAAGCTCTTTATTTTCGGTTGAATTGTGTGAAACAGCGAAGGACAAACAAACACTTAAGACCTCTTTTTAGAGTAATTGGTTTTATTGCAGCAGCGTGTCCTTCCAAGAGTGAGGATTCTGCACACGGCCAACAAAACATGCAGTAAATTAGACTCCCTATAAGGCTCCATACAGTTTAAGCAAGATTTAAAAATACATAAAATAGGTCTTGGGCTATTACATCTGCTTAAAAATGTAAATAAAAGCCATTCATTATCTTTATTTTTGTTATCTCCTATTATAGAGTATAGTATATGGTGTTAATCCTTTCAAATCATCCTGAACC